AAGTTTTGTGTTTTAATAAGTGAATCATTAAACATATTTGGGACAAGCTCATGACATGGTGCTCAAAGCCAGTGTCCTGTTTTCTTTTATGTTATTGGTGGCTGTTGCTGTGTAATCGGCAGACAGAGGTGTAAGTGGCTTCTTTGTGGTTATATAGAAAGTCTGTAGCAGAGGAAAGGATGCAAACCGTATTTTGTAGATTAGAAAGCATGGTATTACATGTGTACTTTTTCTCATGGCAGTTCTGGTTTAGACAGCATTGGGAGGATCTACTTAAGTAACTTTATTCTTTATTCCATTAAGTGTCAGTTGAGTGTAGGATCCTCAGCCCYATTCAAAACTGAAATAGTATGGAGCTGCCTTCAAATGCACATCCAATTTTGAAAGGAATTCATATAACCAATAAAAATGTCAAAAGYATGCAAGTGAAAAACTAACTGCAATCTGTCAACAGTTAATTGGAACATAACTCCCTTGAAGGTGTTGATCCTTTCCTCCCAATGCTTATAAACCATTAGTAGCAGTTTCGTGAGTAGACATGGATTTATTTAAATGGTATTGCCATCTGAAAAAGCATGGATTCAAGACCTGCCTTGTTGACATTTGTCTCTGTTTTCCAAGCTGAATTCAGATACATGAAAAATCCTCGTTGATCCTATCAGAAACAGGCTTCTCTCTCTCCTTCAATAGGGTAGTTGAGTGTAAAGTTTCAGTACACCAGTTTACAGTTTGATGAGTGAAGCACTAATTGGAAGGAGAAGCCTCTGTCTATAGGAGTTGAAAGTGGTGGCATTTTGTTTCTGCTGTTGGAAAAGTATGGTCATCTGAGCAAAATCAGTGCGGATTTAAATATCCAATGCTAGTGTGCATTTCTCCAAATATGCCAATATCCATTTGGTATCTACATGTCTTTCTTGAGAGAGTGGCTGTTTAACAGACTTCTCTTTTCATTCACCTCTAAACTACCTGGGAGCAGACTAGACTGTCAATCAACTCTTCCATTTACTGAAACCTTCCGTACCTCAAATGGAATTAAAAGAAAAGATCAGTTTTTATCTTTCTGTTACTTTCAATGTTAAGTATATATATGAACCAAGCCTGTTATATTTAATAATGTAGTCAGAGTAATATTTTGATTTGCTTGTACAGATCTGCAGGTACTCCTCACAACCAATTTTAGAAAAGAAATCCAAAGGGAGTTTGTTACAGTAAAAGAAAGTTGGTTGACTAAATCTATATAATTTTGCTATTCATCTTAAAGAACTAGAGAGACTGTGTTAATTTTTTAAGACTGTCCCTATGTTTTACTTCTTTCCTGCATATGTACATGTCTATGTCATATTTATCAGCCTGCAGGTACTTTATTGTGCCATCAGATTTTGGGGTTGTACTTCTAATAATTTTGAAGTTACATCAGGTGTCATTAGCAATACTTTTTGACTAAAAGTCAGAGTCTGTTAAGTCCGAAGACCAACTGGCAGGAAAGGTGAAAACACAGCCAAGAATAATAGAAGAGAGCTTTGTCAAGGTGCCATATACTCCAGTTGTGTTGTGGCAATGGCATTGCAGGTCTGTCCCCTGTGGTGTTAGGTTCATCCCAGTTTAATTCTGAGACAAGGTTCATCAGTGTATGTTTAGTTTTGTGATAATGCTTGTCTTCTAGCTACAGTGCGCTTTAGCCTAGGTACTCTGATGTCAGTGCAGGCTAAATACCAAATACCTCTCTGGAAGTTAATTTGCTTAAAATAGGCTAGAAGTTTGGAATTCTAAACATTCTGAATTGTGAGAACTATCATGCTGACAAGCCTTTAAGGTATTACGTTTTTATTTCAGTTTTAGTTTTTTATGATTTATAAATGTTTATTATGTGTTTTCGTGGAAGGAAATTTTTTTAATTTTCCTAGTGTCATGTCAGTCATTTCCTTGTAGGGATTCACACTTTGACTTACCTTTTGCAATGCTAGAGTAGTRAAATGTAACAAGAAGGTATTGGGTCTTCTTTTGGAGTTTGTGAAAGATGTATCTGTTTTAATTTTATGTGTCCTCTTGATTTAGGAAACATATTGCCCTTCAGTTACTTAGCTATGTGTTTGAGAATGTCCAAATGGCAGTAGGCATGAAGAACTTTTTGAAGCCCTTCTCAAAAATCTGTATATCCTTGTTATCCTTTCCCTTCAGAAGTTAATTTTCCACAGCTGCTCATGTCCTGATCGGATTGGGATTACTGCTTCTATGTTTTTTCTGGGTTTGTAGTGCACTTCAGTTGCCATAGGATACCCTGCTGTAGATCAAGAACTGTTTTAAGAATTGTATCAGCTTTGTGCATTGACTTCCTTTTAGTTCCAAGGTGCAACTTAAGGATTTGCATGCAATCTGTTAAGTGCCAATAGCTTTTGCTTTGCCTGCTAGAACAGATAAGAATTTATCATGAAGTTTTCTCCGGTTCCCTATAGATTAGATAGTAAAATATACTCCTTTCCCAGCCTTCTGTCCTTTGTAATGAAGCCATAATTATTAATCTTTAATGGCGCCTGCAATGTGTAAAAGACAGACTTGGTCCTTATCGCAAAAGTGCTGCTTGATTTTATTGTACTTGGTTATAAAAACATTGAAGGCAGAAAATTGTATTTGATGCTTCTATCAGTAGTGTAGCTGATAATTATTGCCTTGTCTTTTTACATGTTTGAATGTCGCCATTCTGGGATTATTTCTATGGTTTGGTTTGTCTTTATATGATCCCTGTCTGCTTCCTTGCTCCAGCTTTGCTTTAGTATTTATTTCTTCATATACTTATTTATTGGTATTATTTATCMAACTAATACATATATACACATATTTTTACTTTCTCTTGTTCTTTGTCATTTTAGTTTTGTGTCTTCTTTCAACTTGCAGTGTTTCCTAAATTCTAGTTTTAAGTTCTATGTCAAATACTCTATTAGTTGAATGTATCTTGTCTCCTTGTACAATTTAACTTTGGGTCAGTGACAAATACTCCAGCATTATTTGTACAGAGTGAAGCTTAATTTTGAAATTGATCAGAGAAGATGTATTTTGTGAATCCTTTGATTTTTGGACCAGTAGATTACAAGCTATTTTCAAGTAATATAATATTAATTYTTGCCTTGGTTTCTTTCAGCTAATCTCTTTCAAGTTTAGTTGGTTTTTTTTTTTTTTTTGTAATTATTAGTTCCTTGCAGCCAGATTTCAGACATGGTGTTTTCTGAGAATTAACTGTAATTCAGCTTTCAAATGACATATAAAGCATTCATGTTTACCTGTCAGTTGAAAATGACATCTGCTTGTAARTTGTTAGAATTAAAGAAGAAAATACCATACCAAATTGGAAACAAAAGTAATGTAATTTTTACTGTAACTGAAGTTTTTAACTACTTATTTAAAAAATGCTGTAGGTGATCTATTTTGGAGCTTAAAGTTGAAATAAAATCTTTGTGCTTAACTAGTAGTCCATGCCCAGTGAGAATTTTATATTCTGAATATTTACATTTGTCAGTTATGTGATTAGTGATCCTTGTAAGCCATGGTTTGTGCTGTTGCTTTTATTCCTCTTACTTTTGTTTCTTATTTACTGTGTAATTTGTATGCAACTATTAATAAAGACATGCAGACTACTTTTCCAGAGATTTGCAGGTGGCATGTAAATAAAATGCCTATCAGATAAGATGAATGAGGGAGATGAAGAGCAAGTCATCAGATAAATAAGAACGTCTCCATCTGTATTGTGACTGCTTTTTTGGGTTTCTGTTGTAGACATGTCTGTGGTATTCTGTTTCCTTGCTTGAAATCTTGAGCAGCCTTGACCGCAACTTTTTATGTAACCTGCAAACCGATATGATTTTGTGGTTTAAAGGTGTAGCCGCTGTGCTTTAGAATGCAGCGCAGAGTTAACRTAAATGAGTAGGGCCAAATAGCTCCAGCAGTTCATCTTAATGTAGTATATCCAAAATACTTCAAAGAGTAAYTTTATGTTCATTTGACTATGGAGTGTCCGAATTGGTCTAATACTGGAAGTGTAGTGCCATTTTTGTGGTTTTCAGATACACTTATAGTTCAAGTATTTTTAAAAATCAGTTTGATTTTGAATTCAGGTTATTGTTTTGCTTTCTCAGTGAAACATCCTTCAAAACACAATGTGCAGGTGCTATCAAAATGCTGCGAAATTGGAAGTCTTTCCTTGAAGGAAGAAGGAATCCTAACATAGTAACAAGGGAATTGTGGAAAGAAAATAGCTAGTTTACTTCTTTTATATAAACTCCTCCTCTTCTGAGTAAATAATTTATCTTTTTTACAACTTGATAAGAAACTAACAGCACTGTAGTGCTATTAGTTGTGTAACTAGTTTCACATAATTAAGAATGAACTTTAATTGTTTTTCATGTAAGTTATGGTAAAAGGTAATACCTTAAAGTAATGAAGTTACTCAATTCTGGTAATTATTTCTAAATAACCTTTAAATTAGCTAGCTTTGGAGTATTGCTTGGCTTCTTCAGTATAATTCAGTATGAGAGACCTCTGCTTTCAGGTTTCAAGGAAGGCTTTGCAGGCCACACATAGCTGGTGCTGCTGCTAGCATTCCCTTAGATGGACATATTTTTTTGCTTTACAGTGCTAAAAATGTAAAGGGCAAAAGAAAAACTCTAAAGAAGAATTAATCCAATCATCTGGTGAGCAGCTGCAAAGTATTTCTTTGTCCTTGTATTGCATGAAATGCTTCTGGCATCGTGCAGAGCTTCTTCTAGTAAAGCTCTTGAATAGTGTAGGTGTCATGTGAATACTTGGAGATAGAGGTGAGATTTTCACAATAGATATAACTGTAGATACTTTTGACTAATTATGTAATATATTCAAGTAAGATGCTGAAATGTGAGAATTGATCATGAAGGACTGGTATCTTTGGGTTGTAGAGAAGTAATGTGACTTGTTAAACTCTATATTTGTTAGTCACAACCTTAAGTTCAAACTTACTTTTTGTCTATTACTAGGAAAAACAAGGGATTTCCAGTCAGCCAGAATGGAATCTGAAATTGTGCCAAAAATTACCAAAATGACAGTGTCTGGAAAGAAACAATCTATGGGATTTGAAGTTCCATGGTAAGCCAAGCCCTCATACATCAAGGTACATCAGCAGCTCTTCTTTCCGACTGATGCACCTGTAGCAAGTTTTCTTCTTATTTTTTTTCTATTTTTCACAGCAATTTTAGTGTCACTCTCCAGAACTAACCATCTTCAGCTTCTTGTTTGACTCAGAATTACTTTCAGAAGATGGTACCTCACGTTTTGAGTTTAACAAATCCTTTCACTATGAATAGTGCATAGAGATATCAGGTAGTCAGATTATTTAAACATCCGCTTCATAGAATACTGAACTTTCTTGGGGTTCGTTTATTTTAAATTTAGTTCTCTAAGTGGAATTATGAAATCAATAAATCTTAACTGTAATTGCTTGTTCTTCAAAGGAAGTAACATATTTAAGAACAGTTAATGGGGAAAACAATCACTTATAGCTAAACCTTGCCTTCCTCTGCAGCTTTTATTAACTTAACAGGTGTCCAAGGTACAACTGTTGTAGAGATTGGTCCTACTTATGCTACAACTAAATTAGAGTGGTTCTAATTTTATCCTGACTTGGAACTGTTGAGGGGATGTCTCATGAGAGCAAGAAGACAGACACCTGGATCAGAGTCTACCTACAACAGTAGCTAGCAGTGAACAGTTAAAGAAATGTGTAAGGACAGGGCATGTATGCTGGGAGTATGGTCCACAAAATATCATTGCATAGTGTTCTGTGTTTCTCCACAATTTTTATTTAGTTTTTTGGTTTTGTCTGATTCTATTAAGAATGGTTAATGTATTTTTCTTAGGTGTCCTTATTCTGGTTTTGAACATAAGTCTTATAATAGCCACCTAATCTGTGGCAAGAAATTCCATAGCTCATCCTGCGGTCAAAAAATTCTCAAGTATATGTGCCAACATCCCAGCCTCATCCCACAGTGTTTGTAGATCTGATCTGGAAACATTTTTGGTAGTAAGAGGGCAGGATGGTCTTTATTTTACAGTATCTTGTGCATGTTTGATAACTGAGTGGAAAGCAAGCAATATCTACTTAAGCACATTGAATGCAAGCTGTGAAGCTGATGTTATTCATTATTACTTTATGCTGCTAAATGCCATTGCTAAAAGACACCACTTTCATTCATCTCAGATGCAATAAGCTCCAAATGAAAAACTTCTGTGACTTTCAAAATCTTTTTTCTTTGCTGTTTGAGATTTGAAATATATAAAGGAAGCATAATTCCCTCCCCTGCCTTCTGTCTACTAATCAGTGGCTCTGTATTTGATAATTGGACTTGATCATGAAGTTCCAGACACCTTCATCTCTTATGTTCCTACTAAACTTCTTAGAGCTTTTCACGGGGACTTCTGTATAGTAATTTAATTTGGATAGAGGTTTAGAAAAAGAAAGGAATATTGAGTGAAGAAGACCTACCAGCTAATCTTAAGTAGTCATGCTTGATTTTTTAAAATCTCTGATAATAACCCTTTAAAATATTTGTTTCTAAAAAAGATCAAATACAGAATTTTGTGTCTCTGATACTTACTTAGCACGTGTGCCTGTTCCACGGGGAAGGAGGAGATAAAAAGAATGCTTCCTCATCTGTAGATGGAAGTAATTCTTGGAAAGGCTAGTGACGACAGTCTCTGATGAAAGATGATTGTCTCCAACATGGTGGTACTCAGCCATTCTGCTTCTTTTCAGGGACCCTGAAATAGTTGGTATCGTACTTGCTTATAGGTCAGTGGCAGAAAAAGATTAAACCTTCTGGACCTGTGAGTAAATCCTTTAGATAGATCCTTAATATTGGTCTTGTGAGACCCCCATCTGGAGTGCTACATCCAGCTCTGGGGTTTTCAGCACAGGAAAGACATGGACCTGTTGGAGTGGGCCCAGAGGAGACCACCAAGATTATTAGTGGGATGAAGCACCTTTCCTATGAAGAGTGGCTGAGAATTCTAGGGTTGTTTAACCTGAAGAAGAGAATGCTTTGGGGTGACCTTATTGCAGCTTTTCAGTACATAAGGAGTGTATATGAGAAAGATRGGGACAGACCTTTTAGGAGGCCTTGTTCTGACCGGACAAGGGGTGTTATGGTTTTAAACTGCAACAGAGTCAGTGTAGATTGAATATAAGGAAGAAGTTTTTTGCAGTGAGGGTGTTAAAACCCTGGAATAGGTTCCCCAAAGAGGYGGTGCATGCCCCACCCCTGGAAATTTTCAAAAACAGACACGACCAGGCTCTGAGCAGCCTGATCTTATTGAAGATGTYCCTGCTCATTGGAGGGAGGTTAGACTAGATGACCTTTAAGGGCTGCTTCCAACCTAAACTGTCCTATCATCTTCTGATTGTGAAGATGGTTTAAAACTCATCTCACTTAGTGATACTGCTGAAAAACTGATTGAAARCAAATCTCTTATTACTGTGTAAATTGCATGTACGTTAGGTATTTAGCTTCAGGTGGAAGAAATAAGTAAGAAGTGGACTGATTTGTAAAAGAGCATGAGATCTGAAGCACAGCCAATCAATTGATATGGAGGAAGACACAATTTAAATGGTAAAGTTCCCATAAATGCATGTCTTAAAGACCTCTGCTTCAAGGAGTCTGATGAGGGCCTCCTTTGTTCTTCGGTCCAACAGACCACTGTGGAGGCATTGCCAAGSCACTATGACCTTGATGTTATAGAAGCAGAGAATAATATATTTCTAGACTTGAAAAACAAAGCAAAACATGAGCCTCCACCTCCATTGAATGAGTATTAGGGTTGGTTTTTTTCTTCTGCAATTATTTTCTGCATTATTAGCAGGATAAGGATGACCTGTCAGGGACAGAAGGAATCTGTGTTTATTAACATCTAAAAAAGACTTGTTCCTTTGACGTTTATCATATCTTTTTAATGTTATTGTTTCATTGTTAATTTATTGCAGAGGATYTATAATAACACAGCTTTTTAAGTACATAATTTATGTCACTGACCAAAAGCACTGGTATAAATTACTCAAAGCATTCTAAATAGATTCTAAAAYGTCTGTAGCTGTGCCCCCTACTTTTACCCCAAAATATTTATTTGGTGCTGGTGCAGATACCATTAGAAGGAGATTGTTTAGTATATATGAACTACTTTTGGTTGGTAACTTGCGTGGGATCTTAAAGGTAATTTTTGGACCCTGTTTTTAAAAGCAGCAGTCTTGCATTAGTAAAAACCTTCATTCTTTGACTAGTTGTTGAATCTATGATTTAGTGTTGTTATGAGGTGTTATTAGTGAATCTTATTTAAAATGRATGGGTTATTAGAGGACATTGATTGCTTTGAGCATTGATTGCCTTTGTTGCTGGGTATTATTAGTAGGATTGTCTACAGAAAATTGTACCAGAGTTTGCTGGTAAACTGATGCTCCTGCAAAACTGTTTACCGGGCTTCTTCTTTCTGTTAACTAATAAAGGAAGTCAGAAGAAGTTGTTACCAAAAAAGGGTTGATTATTTTAACTAGCCTGACCAATATTTTGTAATTAATAATTTTGAAAGGGGAAATAAATGTAGACATTTCTGTAATGACTGTAAGTACTCCGAAAGAGTCGGTTGTGTAAAAATAATTCACCCAGCATCCAGACTAGAAGATTGAAAATAATGTTTATAAGCTAAATTCTGAAGAGTTAATATTGAGCAGATAAGCTTTCAGGTTCCGCTTTGAATGCATGGGAGTATGAACCTTTCAATACTTGCCCTCTAATATGTCTTATAGCAACAAATGTTGTATTTATTAATATTCCCCAGGAAATAGTGGTGTAACCATAACATTTTATTCAGTTTACTGTTATGGTCCTGTTTGGCAAGACAACATAGGAAGTTTCTGGTGTGGCAGTTTTAATTTTGACAAAATGTTATTCCTTGCCAGGCTTTGGTTTGTCAGCTGATTTCCAAAAGAGATGGTTTGTMAAAAGTTGTTTTGACATTTGTGTCTGAATTGCTCATGTTCAGGCTTTCTTGACTACATGATCTAAGTGCACATGCAAGGTTCATAATAGTTCTGTACTTTCAAAGAAGTTGAGTTACATAATCAGTCAGTGGCTCCATGTTACCAGCTAGCAGTGACGTGGCAGATGGGCACAGATGCTCACAAACTGAGACTGCTTTTGGTAGTTCCATCAATTTCTCAAACAATGATGCAAGCAATTGCTTTGGAAGTGGTCTTCCTCCAATATAAATTTTTCTTCATATGGTAGGTAGGTTKTCATAGCTGAGTCCAAGCTGAAACTTTGCTACCAAAGATACTTTCTAGTACAGTTCACTTGGTTATATACTCAACTGCCTGCACTAGTGATACACTAGGTACCCTTCTAACAGAAATTTTCAATTCAATAATTTTAAAAAAACTTGTGGGAATAGGCTAACTGAAGAGCATTTCCAATATCATTAATTTTGTTTATAGGCTGTCAGAAGTTAAGTCCTTAGCACTTTCTGAGCCACTATCAAGCTTTCTATAAGCTACTCATCTGGTTGTCATGAAACATAACTAACTGCCAGTGTTGTACTATTGCATTTCTCGTCATGTACTTCTATGAGACTGAATTTCATCTGCCCATTTCTTGTTTGGGTACCTAGCAATAAACTTGCTCTTCCTTTCCCTGACACAGGTAAACAAAAAGCTGAATTGTGTTAGTAGAGATACTCTTTAAGTAGATCATATGCTCTGTCCATTCTGGTATTTCTTGTCTGAAATGGCAAGTCTAGGTTTATCATGGCACAAGTTGTTTTCATTTTTCCAAAACACAGTAATATMTGAAACTTTTAAAACTCTAGCAGTGCACTGACTGTTCAAATACTGCACCCTTGGAAAAGCAGCAAGGCCTAATGATGGCTGGAGTAATGTTTCATGAATTTCATTTGCATCTAGCCCTTTTTCTTTGCACCACCCAAAATAAAAGCTATTTAGCAGCCTTAAGCAGTGGTGGTTGCAATAAAAGCCACTTAGAAATGAAAGTGTACATGTCTCTGGCAGCAACCATGGTTCTTTCAGATACTGTAATTTGTTTGAATTCTACCACAAATCCATCCTATTTTGGGGAATCCTTGCTGGCATACATTTTGGCCTGTAGGAAGAGCTTRACATCTGGGATTAGAGAAAGAATCATCATCTAGCTTAATGAAATAAAATTTAGAAGCTTACAAATAACTTCTCTTTGAAAATACATTGCTGTCTGTTAATGGGCTGATGTGACAATGCTTGAATATATTTTGGTAAGCTAYAGAAAAACATGAGAGTTACGCTTTTGAGTCACATTACTTTCAGCTTCATCTAAATAATTGCCTTTTAAATTTTTTTTCCACTTTTGAAAATTTGGTTTGGGAAGAAATGCAGACACTGACAAGGAGAGAAAACTATTGCCAACTGTAAGGCTACCTTGATATGACTTCTTATACAAATACTTTCCTCCAGAACTTCAAATATTAGACTTTCAAGGAAGAAAACTTGATACCAATGTAAAATACCATATTTGCATTACAGTGTGACCTTTGCATGTTGGCACAAGTCCTGGTTCTTCAATGTGAGCATGCTAGATATTATATTCATAGCTACATGTAAAGCAATAATGATCAACTGGTTTTTTGTTTAGTAAACCAAGTGTTATGAAAATTACATAGTTTGTCAAGATGCAATATTCCCTGTAACATTGGAGCTATACTTGGTGATTCAGAACAGTTTGCCTTGTAGTGTAAATTCTAGAATATCAAGATTGTGTGACTCAAGGCAGTGTTCGATAAAAATTTGACCTTCTCCTTCAAGTGGTTTAGAATATTTGGGTAGAGTAACTTCTCTTTAGAAAAGACTTTAATACAAAAGTATAAATAGACTTTATAAATCTATATTTTATTTAGTATATAATAGGTTTTATACAGAATTGTCTATCCATTATGCAGAAGCACAGATACCTACTGGTATACCCCTGCAACCAGCAGGGCTGGCATAAAGCATGTTGTTTGCTTAGCTAATTTGGGAAGCATGCCTGTGTATCCAGCCTTGGGGCAAGGCCCTGACCTTGGTTTGTGGAGCTGTAGCCAAAAGAATGAATATTGGCATTTCTGCTTTGGTCTCACAATCAAGAGAAAAACTCTACTGAGCCTTATGAAAAGGTGTCAAAACCAATCAGTTTGCTGCAGTATTGATAACACAGGTGGGTTCTAAAGCTGTGGGGAAGAAGGGAGAGCCATAAAATGTCCCATGGTACTTAGTGCTGTAATGAGAAGCTGAATTTGCATTCAATCTGAACATTTATAGTGTATAATTKTTTAGATCATAACTCGTCAACAACTTTGTTCAGTAGACTAACATGTTTAGATTGTACTGTTACATGGGATCTATGTAATGGAAAGGGACTAATGCCATGCAAATACWCCTACACAGACAGAAAGTGAGAAGAAGTGTCAAATAAAAGTAGAGATGTCACAATGCGGGATTCTAAAGTACCAAAACAGATAGCTTTGTCTGTAGAAGTTGAAAAGGTTAAAACTGGGGAGTTAATTGTGGCATGTAAACAGAAAGTGGAGAGAGAACATTTCACTGTGGATGTGGAAATGCTTGACTGTGCATAAACCCGTACCAGGGAAAGCAGTCTACAGCATGATGGTACTGAACTTGAAAGGATTTCCAGGGGAAGAAGCTTCTACCCCTTGGATAAAGTTTTAAATACAGTAATTTGTAGAGATTTTAATTTCTGTAATAAYTAGTAGTTTGTATATTGACATTTGCTGTGATATAATGTTGGCACACCTGTAATAACTGCTTCTGTTTCTGTCTTGTTGCTTATATTAATGCCTCACCAAGCAGCTCTGTCAGGCAGTAGGAAAACTTTTGCTGTCTTGAAAATGTTACTTAGTGTTTGTTTTTGGTGATCACCTTTTCCAGGATAGGTGAAGAATAACATTTTATATTCTCAGAAAGCTTGTATAGATCAAGAAAATAAGTTCATTTACAAAAYTGAGTTAAAAAAAGGTATAGGAAAAAAAAAACCAATATATTTATGATTGTTTACTGTTATGATGAGTGGGAGAACAGGGCGTTAGTAAAAGGGAGTGAGAATCCAAATCTCTCTAGTCCTAGGTGTCTTGTTTTATGCATGAAACAAATTTTCTCAATATTGACAAATCTTAACTCATCTGTTACAATTCTATATAAGCATTGCACTTTCAATTACAGCTTACAYATACTTAATATCAACTCTTTATGTTATAATGGTGTTCTCACAATGGAACATTACTATGTTCAGCTGCCGTAGTTGTATGCAGAAACTGTTTCAGGATCTGTGTTTCGAAGTTGTCTCGGGCTTTTAGTTTAGAGGAAGTCTGCTTTCTGTGGTTGTTCYRCAAAATTGTCCTTTCCCTTCCTGTTAAAGGAAGAGTCTATGGAAAGCTTGTTGATCTGTTTCATGTATTTTATAAGATTGCTTCTTATATTACTTCTGTAAACAGTTTCAGACATCTTTTCAGACAAGAAGTTCGCAGCTGKTATCTGTGCAGTTTGTATCCAGCTGCTTATCAGTTACCCACCTTAATGGGCTTTTCACATACTCTTTGGGGCTTGCACAAAAGTGAAAACTATTTGTCTCCTTTATTTCTATGCCTCCTTTGTCATTTGCATTCTTTGTGTTKTCTTTTATTCTTTAGTGCGGTTGCTGATGAAAATGGCCATACTAACACACCTCAGAAAGGACTGTTACTTGAAGATACAAACGTAGGTTCTGGGGTACTTGAGACTGTCTCAAAATCTACTCTTTCACCTCAAGTAGTACAGGTTTCAGAAGAGCAGAATATGGTGCCTACTCCAGCAAAAAAGTCAAGCAAGGCAAAACCACAAATAGATGTGAAAGCAGAGCTGGAGAAGAGACAAGGAGGAAAGCAACTGCTGAATCTGGTTGTAATAGGTAATATTGTTACATTACATTTTTTACAAAGTTTAAAAAGTATGTTGATTGAATCTGGAAGTGATACAGAAACAAAAGTGTCCTCTGTCCAGGGAAGGAAAATCTCATACTGTTTTCAGTTGCAACTGCTTTCTTTGGAGGGAATGCATTCAGATGTCTTTGACTTGGTCACTAAGGTTGATTAGCTTCCCTTTGAGTGTGCAATAGAACATGTTCGGTTCGATTTGGTTTGATTGTTGCAGTGTTTTTTTAGTATGAATTTGGAGGTGTTCTAGGGCAGCCAAGTTAACTCGCTGTTACAATAAACTGTCTCCCTGTGTCTGTGTCTCACAAGATTATGAAGTTCTATGGATTGCAGAAGCATTATTAGTGCATGTGATGGTCATATGTTTTAGTATATTTCTTTTGCTATACCTAAATCRCATAAATTAATAAAATTGATATAATTTATTTTCCTCCACAGGGCATGTTGATGCAGGCAAAAGTACTTTAATGGGACATTTGCTCTATCTTTTGGGAAATGTGAACAAAAGAACTATGCACAAATATGAACAGGAGTCTAAAAAGGCTGGTAAAGCTTCATTTGCCTATGCATGGGTCTTGGATGAAACTGGTGAAGAAAGAGAAAGGTAAAAATACATTTTAATGTTRGTTACCTTTTTTCTCTGAAAGAACAGCATTGGTTGGAAAATATTAGTCTGATAAACTAATCATTGAAATGTCTGTTCATCACATGTGACTTACATTACTTTTAAAATAAAATCTACAAATTAATTAAATTAACAATTAGATTTGTATGCTTTATAAAATGCCTTTATTAACTTGTAATAAGAAATTTAAAATTACATTTTTGTGTTGAAGAAGTGAGTTTTCTGAATTGGTGTTTCTGATTGATTCTATTTTCTCTTSGCTCTGAGTTTTATGTTTAAAGAAAAATTTTCTGGAGTCATCTGTAAATGTTTGGAATTTTAGGGGCTTATTTTGTTGCTGGGATTTTTTGGTGATTGGAAGTAGCATACAAAAAGTATCTGCTACTACAAGGTGTTTTGTCCCTCGAAAGTTTCTGTCTGTCCTAATTATCTGTAAGGGGAGATGCAGCTGACTAACCCACATACAGACGTGTATAGAAGGYGTCTGCACTTGATCAGATGAATCCTAACCTGTGTGTCATGCAGAACATGTGGTGTAGCAAGATGTGGAACTGAGAACAAGGGTGTTGCTATCCTTGGTTTTCAGGCGTCCTGCATGTGGATCTTCACAAATGTGTAACTCTATCTCTATAGTCCCATAATACTTATTTTTTTAAACTTGGCTATGTTTCTCTTACTCTGATACTTTTTTCTGAAGAACTAAATATCAAAAGTTTAATTAGTAATGATTTAAGTATACAGTTCCATTTTCATGTTCTTGCTGTGCGAGTTAGTACTGGTTATTCTGGGTGTTTTTCTTCACAACTGGAGTTACTAAAAGGCATCTCTAGAGGTCTGCTCTTCCAACAAGCAGGTATCTCTGCTTTATGGTGCAGGCTAAATCAGTGAAAGATATGAAATGTATAATTTCATGGCTATGCTTTTAATAGCTTACTTTATATCTCTGTGAAGTTTTCAAAGCAGTTTTAATGGTGCATTGCATGTGTGCTTTGTTTAAGGGGAGTGACAATGGATGTGGGAATGACCAAATTTGAGACACCGACTAAAGTAATTACACTGATGGATGCTCCAGGCCACAAAGACTTCATTCCAAATATGATTACAGGGGCTGCACAGGTAGAAATGGTCTAAAATGCTTTTTCCAATATCAGTATTATCTGTAACTTCTTCTTAAATTATTTTTTTCTTTTAAAATCTAGGATGAAATGGAATCATTAATGGTGTTAACATATCTTTGAGTTTTCTAAACTTCAAAAAGTGTGTTTGTTAGACATTAAAGGTACTTGCTTTTTTTGATGCTAACATTTGGGAGGATGGTTTTATTATGGAAGTAATTTAATAAGTTGCAGACTGATAAAATCACAGTTGAGCTTTGAAAGTTATTCACATTTGGTATATGGCTACTCAGTGAGTAGTTCTGTGGATGTTGGTCTTGTCAGTGACAGCTTTAAGTGATTTTGAGCTTAAAGAAAAAAGGTTTCTAGTTCAAGCAAAACACATTCTTCTGTTTAACAGTTTATTTTGTATGGGATGAGAAAATATAGATAACAAAGTTTATACAGAATGCATCTATCTTGTCAAGAGGATATTTGCAGAGACTTGCGTGCCCCTTGTTTTAGGAACAGTAGGTGAAGTCAAAAATATTGGACACTACCCACTGAATTCAGTGTGGCACTTACCAGTCTCATATAGATTAGTTATGTGTGGAAATAATACATCAGASGTAGGGGGAAAATAGCATGGTTACATGATATAAAATGAGTATATTTTTTTTTCAATTGAAGACACCCTTCTTTAAATATTAAAATTGATTTGTCAGAGAAGAGATTGAATCAAATTTTTTTCCCAAAGCTAAGCCATGTGTAGATTTTTCCCTTGTGTTTTTCATAACAGTCTAAAATATGGGTTATGTCTTTGGATCTTTGTTGAGTACTTGGATGAGTGCTGTTAATATGATCTCACAGATAGAGAACTATGCTGTAGGGAGACTCATTTGTCGTCCCAAGTTCTGCTTTAGCTCTGAAGCAGAGCCTGGGTGAGAATTCAGACCTTATGACCCACTGGTTAGGCGCTGAATAGTCAGATGTTTGCAAATTAGATGGAGTGCTTAAATAGTCACCTATACAGTGGAAWATGTGTTGTAGCAATTTTATGAGTTTTAAAATTAGAAGTGGATCTTTACTTTCAGAGCAGTGGAAAGTGTTGACTCATTTTGTCTGCTATTATCTTTACAATTGTTATTTAAATAGTTTTTTCTRTTTGGGGAGAAGTAATACAGGCAGAAGTTCTGGGAGAAGAGTATCAGATCCACCAGCAATTTTATCAGTTCAGCATAAGATGGGGCTGACCAAATAAAGCCTGGTATCTCTGTGTTCCCTCAGCTCTCAGAATGGTGAGGAGCTGGTCTAATCTGAAGCCTGTYAAGGAATCACTAAAACTTTGCAACTTTCTGTTGCCTATTTGAGTAGGCATAGTGCTGAAGCAATGGCTGGAAATGGTTTAGTGCCTTTTTATTGTGGGGAATGTGTTAGGAGGTGAATCCCCAGCTGCTGTTATTCAGAATGCAAATCAGCCTTATCAAGGCCAGGATCTGGCCTTTGATACACATTCAGTAAGGTCTGAGGTACTGTTTTTATAATTAATAATTTTGAAAATGCAGGTTGTCCTTTTTTTGAAGGAGAAGTTGACTGTAATTCACTTCTGAGGCTGGTAGCTCTGGGGAAATGCATCAGCTATCCTTTTCCCGTTCTCACACTCCTGCTGTCCCTGAATGAGCTGTGGGGWTTTCATGCCAAGGACAAGGCGAGGGGAGTTCAGGGGCAAAACTCTGTTCCTTTTCCTGGCATTCTGAAGCATAAGCATTTAAGAAAAGGGAGAAAGTACCACTTTTATTCACTCTTTCCATTATGCCCATCTCCTCAGTCCTAAGAAATKACATCTGCCTGTTGACACCAGTACCTTTGTTGCTCATGTCTGTTGCAGTCACTTGGTACCTGATGGTAATCCAACTGGCCATTACTTACCAAAGCAGGAAAAGTACAAGAAATATTAGCAGCATTTAAGGCTAACAGTAAGAKAGATCTGTGTTTTTTCCTGGTGCTTACAGACTGACTTCTGTGCAGTGCTGTAGACAATTTGCTCTTAATGTTGTGGCAGAGAGTTTGTCTAGGTGATAAATTAGGCTGCTTTCTCTTTGCCACCTTGTCATTTTGGCATGCTCCGTTGCGTTGAGTGGACTGTGAAGCATTCACATCCAGCATATGGTCAGGAGGTTGTCCCAGTTTTATAGTGTGGTGATTTGTTTGTAATTTTTGCAGCTTCTCGYTATAAAGATGTCCAGACTAAAGCAGGGACAACTGGGCATTGTTCTCATACATTGTGTTCTAAAGCTTCTGAGCACCAGGCTGCTTTTGTTTAGATCTGTGCAGCGTCCACACTGGGYAGATAGAAGGGAAGGGGTTTCCAAAACCAACAGCTGGCTTGTGTTTAATCAGRAGGTGCTGGTTTATGACATGAGATGACATAATGCCATAATATCTCACCAAAGTGGGCAGGTGCWGCCGAGCAGTTCCAATTATGTTTGGAGCACATCAGGATTCCTCTTGTGTAAAGTACATTTTGTGTGAGATGTTGCTGATTGAGGTATTTACTCAGATTACTTTCACCTCTTAACCACTTTTGATTCTTTTGTATTGTTTTTCTTTTTTAATGTAGGCTGATGTGGCAATTTTGGTTGTGGATGCCAGCAGAGGAGAGTTTGAGGCAGGATTTGARACGGGTGGACAAACTCGAGAACATGGATTATTAGTGCGCTCTCTTGGAGTGACACAGCTGGCTGTTGCAGTCAATAAAATGGACCAGGTACACGTTTAAATTCTTGATTTAAGTGAAGGGCTTCTGTCTAGGTTTGTGRACACTAAGTTTAAGGATCAATATTGTGAAGCTAAAAGTATTGTTTCTTTGCTTTTCAGCTCTGTCCCTTATGTTTAGTCTTTACAGTGCTATTCTTTTTATTTATAGGTGTATTTTCACAGTACAAAGAAGGTTAGTTTTGGTGCTTAAATGAGCAGGGGTCTCTTCTGTACTTGTGCAAATCTCAACAGCATGTTAATGGTCACTCAGGTCAAGACCACAATAGTTTTGTTTAAATGTRTAAGGTGTGTTAAAGATTACTGTTTATATTTTAAGTTATTACTGTGTTGAATATATCTTGCTGAATCTGAATTCTGTGTAACCTTTAAAAAGAAATTGATGTTGAAATTTAAAGGGCTTGCAGTTCTAGTGGTGTGCTGTCTGTGATCAGTAATTGCTAGTGTGTGTTCTTATATATTCGAGTATGAATGCCCCTGGAAATCTCATGTTTATAAATACCCATCTGTTTCTACTACAGAATTGATGACATGCAGCTGTATGTTCAAGTCATGGTTAAAAATCTACCATTTTATTATTATATCATAATCTGTGCTTTATTTTAGGTCAATTGGCAACAGGAAAGATTTCTCGAAATTACAAGTAAGCTCGGCCAATTTCTTAAGCAAGCTGGCTTTAAGGTAAAGTGTTTTTGAGGCCTTGGTTGCCTTGTTCAAGCATTTGGGTGTGATGAGTGTTCCTAAAGTCAGATTATTTYGTCACTTTCCTGTTACCACTATGCRCATGTAAYAGAGCCAATTCCTTTCTTACTGGTRTGGTGACATTGARCCCTGGGTAAGGGTAGTCAGTTCTTTATTACTCCTTGTGTCATCATCTTTGTTGAATCTTTGGGGTACTCAGATCATTTGTAGTTTCTTGGGATTGTTGTCTGCAAGTCAGAAGAGATCAAGAATGGTCTATCTTAACGTTACAGAGTACATGAATGACAGTAGAGAGTTTTTTACTGGAGCAAATGTCAGTGTGGATTGTGAGCTCATTGGAGCCCTCCAGTCACATTTTCTCACTTCCAATTACTATTCATTTGGACTGRCTGTGGTCTTCCTGGAATCTCTGTACATAAAGCAGGAAGTCAACCCTAAGTTTTGCCTGYCAGACACTGAGGAGTTTGTTACCTGAACTCAGTTTCTATTTGTTAATGTTGCTATTGTCACATTTAAATATCTCCAACTCTTTGTTGGAGCATTGTGATTAGGCAAGAGGTAACCAGAAAGGAAATGGATCCACTGAGTAACCTGCCTTCTCSAGAGGAAATACGAATGTGACAACCATTCCTTTAAAGATTAGATGTGTAATATGAAAGAAATGCACCTCCTGCTTCTGCTAGGAGATCATGTTRTTAATGTATGCTTAACATCTGTTGTTTTCTTTATTAGGAATCAGATGTGGCATATATCCCAACAAGTGGCCTTGGTGGGGAAAATCTAGTCACAAGGAGTCAGTCAAGTGACCTCACACAATGGTACAAAGGAAAGTGTTTGCTAGAGCAAATTGGTAAGTGCAGTTTTCCTAATTTAAAAAGTAATACATCTTAGTCTTGTGCATGTTACAACTTTTATTTTGGGGAAAATGTGAGACAAGGTCATTGGAATGCAACATAATTAATTTTTCTGAGAAGTTGCTGAGGTAGTTACTAAATACAGAAATTCTAAAAGATCKTATCAATTTATTTGCAGATTCTTTCAAGCCACCACAGAGATCAGTGGATAAACCATTTAGACTGTGTGTTGCTGATGTTTTTAAAGGTTGGTTGTTTTTGTAGTATTAATACCATCATTTCACCGATATTTAACACAARTGTTGAAAAATGCTGTCAAAATAAGGCTTTAGGTTGGTACTTTATGTGTATCAGTAGTCTTGGATCAGAATAGTAARTTTTTAAGTACTATTTTGTGCTGAGTTTTAAATAGTACTGCTGAAGGCAAAACACACTGGAATAGAAATTGAGGAAGATAATCTGCATGACCAGTTATTTGTCTATGTAATGAGTTCATGGTTCTGTGGGACAGAATGTGGGACTTTACCAAACTGGTTCCGCTGGACTAAATGAATGTTTCTCATACCTTTTATGAATGTGGCTTTGGGCTCTTTTACCTTCCAGTCCTAGATTTTAAACAAGTTTGTTTTGTTCCTTTTATGTTCATTGTTGTAGTTGTAAATAATGATACATTCTGTAATTTTTGTGTAGAAATTTGGGCACGTGGGGTGGAGGAAAATGGTGRTAGCGGTGTGACTTTTACAACCAGCCTAGGATTTAAGGCAGTGAGCTATTCCCTAGCATTAATAGAGATAGGAACAGCAAGAACTATTGCCAGTTCTTAATTTGATTGTCTCGAGAAAATGGACTGCCTTGAGCTTCTAAGATTTTCATGGTAAACTTGATTTTTTCCCCCCTTAAGTCATTTACAATTGCAGGTAGTTTAGAAGAAATAAAGTTTCAAGACCCATCCCATTTGAAACATTCTGTAGGTCCCTTGAGAAATGTTGCAGACTAAATGACAGCATTTAGTTTGACAGCATGATTTGAAATGTTGTAAATATTTGCAATCAAATATGATTATTGAAGTTTATATTTTAAGAATTTTTGCTTTATATTTATGGTGTTTATAGAGGAAGTACAAAAAAAACCAGATCAAAATACTGATTGTAAGTGGAATTACCAGGTTTGTGCAATTTTCATGAGGGCCTTTGAGAAAACACTGGATACTGTGCATGCCCTTAGTTAGCTGATTTAACTGAGGCTGTAATGTTAAGTATTGCTTGCATGGGAATTTACCCTGGTATAATACCACTGTTTTTTTCATCTATGCCCTCACTGTRTTTGATTTTTCTTTTTTAATTTTGTGAACTGTGGGAAAGTGTGTTAGGATTATTGATTGAGATCTTTCAAAGCACTATCACAGTTTTTCAACTGCAATAATAATTTTTGTGTTGAGCAAAGTTTCACAAAAGGAACRATTTTGACTAAATCTGTTTTACTAAAGTATGCAAAAAAATAATGACTTTGGAAGGGACTCAATTTACATACACAGGATTTATCACTAAATGCGGCCTTTTAGGTGTTTTTTAGGCTATTTTTTCTTACCTTATGATCTCAAAACTTAATTAACTTTGATGCCACCAGAGGAAGCAGTTGCAGATACAAGTACATGAAGCAACAGTTGTTCTCAGCTCTGTTCCAGTGCCTGTGCATGCTCAGGAAGAGCTGTCCATAAAAGTGTGTAAAAAGTGAGAGTGCTGACTCTTACATAGTCTGGAAAACCCCTTTCTCGATTCAGGCTGCCCACATATATGATTCACCTGCCTCAGCAGATTTCAGCTGTGGTTCTCCACAGCCCTCCTAATATTCATTCTCTCCAGCAAACAGTCTCCTGATTTAAGAAGTCCCCGTAAATCCCTTTGCTGCTGCATCAGTCTCCACTTACCATATTTATATATAATTCTGTCTAGGGTATGACTGACCTGACCCTAAAAAAGCACTGTCCACCAATCAAATCCTGAGGACAAAAAGAACAGCTCCTGGCAGAACCCAAGTAGCATGATGCACATTTTGTGGGTGATTTTTTATGCCCTGATTCTGTCCCCCACTGTCCATTTTCTACTTGCACTGATTTCAGGGGGAGCTGAATGAACCTGATACTTTTCAGGAAGCAATCAGCATAGGAATGGATGAAGCTTCAAAGATCACATTTGTTTAGCAAGCCAGACTGGTGATGATGTGAACAAAACATAAATGGTTCTCAATTATGTGTAGGAGTGGTTGAGAACCTGGAATCAGTTCATGTTTCTGGTTGCCACAAGTGCTTGCCAAGCCAGCTTCAGGTTCTTTTGTGTACCATATTGATGTGATATCTGTACTGTGACTTGGGGATTCTTTTTCTGTCTTCTTTGCCAGTTTTCTGTTTGACATTTGATATAATCTGTTTATTGACTGTGTTCATCTCATTTGCTGGAATGAATAGAGAAAAATTAGCATKCAGGCATAGTGGTAGTATTTTTCTAGCTGGAAAGATGGAAGCATTCATTACATGAAAGCATGCCTCAGTATCTATGATGAATGCAAAGAGCAAGTTGGTAGTGAGTGACTTCAAGATTTTATATCAACTTGTTCTTTTGAATTCAGCTTTGAATTGAGACACAAAATACTAGGATGCTTGCTTATATCACTGAATTCTCATATTCAGCAAAAGGTTATTTGGTGCTTGTATGGATACTAAAAATGTAATTGTGGAATCAGTTCAGGGAGTTATTTTTAAAYACCCACAAACACATGCTAAGAAGATGAGGTATTTGTTAAGGTGTATGTGCATAAATGTTCATGTGTAGCATATCTATGGAAGGTAACTCGTGTATCATTCAAATGATGAACAGAATATTAGGACATTGAAGAAGAAAACTTTACAGACCTTTTATTCAGAAATACTTAAATCATCTCCAGATATAGTAGTTTCTCATATTAAATAGGACTGAATCAATCTTTTGATTGATTTCCAGGAGTAAAAGTAATATGCAGACACAGTGTGTAGGATTCTGACTCAGTTAAACAGTAAATGGCATAGGAGTTTTCACCTGTGTGCATGAGAATTATTGTAAGAGGTTTGTCATATGCCTTTTATATGTATTTATACTGAGAAAGTGCTGAATTAAATAAYATTACTAGAAATTAAGGGGCTTAGTTTAATACTGAAAAAAAACTAAAAAAAAAAATTCTTCATGTACTTACATTTGTTTAAAGAAGGATATTTCTTCCTTAGTTCTGAAAAATATAAGATCTAGAGGTTTTGAATTTAATGTTTCATTTTCATTATGATGCACAGCTGGCTAACTTGCAAGTACTGAAAACTCTGCTGAGAGGGGAATAAAATCTTCATTATATGAAAAACTTATCTATTCATTGCTGAAGTCTAACTTGTAATAGGAAATTGACTGTATTATGAAGTTTTTTTAAATTGTTGCTGTGTCTGTTACAGACCAAGGATCAGGATTTTGTGTGACTGGTAAAATAGAAGCAGGCTATATTCAAGCTGGAGAACGACTTCTGGCAATGCCTCCCAATGAAACTTGCACTGCAAAAGGTACAGTCTTCAGAAGCATGTTTACTTTCAGGTCAATACTGGGCTAGAAACAGTTACTGAAATGGTAACAGACTGTCAAACTGATACTAACTGTCAAACATAAATTGTGAAAGCTTAAACGAATTTCTTTAGATGTGACTGTGTCTGTATAAATATGTCTGTGAAGAATATGTGAGATCTTGTCTGCTTTTTTTTGAACCATATCAGATAATCCAAATGTTATAGCCTTGTGGCTTTTGACATTGCTTTATGAGGAGCCTGTAAAGGCATTTCAGTTCCAGCAATGTCTATAAAGATATTCAGTACAGGAATCATTAGTAATCAACTTTACTGTGAAGTGTTACTGCTGTTAGGAAGTGTGAAGATTTTGAACAACTTTTAGAAATTAATCTTACAAATTGATTGTGAAAAAACTTGCAAATTGAGTCATTGCTCCTATTTGATGTAAGATTTGTCACTGATCCTTTCATAGCATCAAACTTTCAGGATATAGTTGTCTTGAGTAATTAGAAAAGGGAAGAAAATTGGATTTAAATTTGAATCTATTTGGTTTCGGAAAAGAGGAATAGCTAGACATTAAATGCTTAGCTGTTTCCTGATTAAGCTTGCTGTCTTTGTACTGCAGAGTTGGTTTTGATTCATATGCAAATAGAAAAATAAAATTATGATTTTCCTTCATTGATCAGTGAATAAAGAATTGAATCCTTGAGATTTGAATAGGTTTTTGCAKCTAAGTATTTAGCCTGAATTCAGCAATATGCTGCTTTGGTTGTCTGTTCTGTTCCAAACTCARCTTGTTCAGGGCTAATTTGGGAAGCTCTTCAGTCTGTCAGCTTACAGAGTTCTGTGCACATTATTTGCATGCACAGGAATGATACAATAATGTGGATGAATATGGGTATCAGACCACTGTAGTCACTCCTCTGTTTGGGGAGTGGAGGAAGTATCGTGGAAAATGATGTATATTTTGTCTATCTCCAACAACATGGTTCTTCTTTTGTACTGCCTCTTCTATGACTGAAATGCAAATGAAGGTTGGGGGTATTAGTTCATTAAGCATGCATTATTTATATTTAATGTAAAGAAGCAATAATTTAATTTAGCATACAGTACTTACTAAAGGCAGAGTGCCACATTAGGATTCAAGTTTTTCATTTCAAGAGGCTAGATTTATTCATTCTGTGATAATGATAGATACATGAAATAATTATCAATGCTGCTTAAAAAATGGTATTTAACATGCTTATAATTGAATCATGCTTTCTGGCATGTTTTTGGTAAGTGGTTTTGGGAGCAAATCTGAAAGTCAAGAGGTACAATCTGCAGCAAATAGAATTAGATCCTATAAATATATTCAGTATTTCTAAAAACCAGTTTTTTCCCTTTCCTGCTGTCTACCAGAAACCTCAGAATGTTCAGAGCCAATTAGTCTTGTCCTCAACTACCAGCCAGGTTGTCTTTTAAAGAAATTAAAGTACATAAAAATTAAATTACTTTTAAAGGTGCTTTCTAATAGGCGCGATGTCGCAAACGAAAGGCTTCAGTTAYGCTTTTTTATGAAAGAGTCAGCAAACCCACTTAGGGTAAATGAAAGTTTACACAGTACCATTGAAGTATATGAAAGATGCGGTCTAGGGTGTCCGTGTGCCTCAAAGGATGGGTGGGGCAGATATGGAGATATTAGTACTGCAGCGTTTTCGGGATTGCGTCATCTGTGCTGGTGACAAGGCCAGGTCCCCTCCTCTGGCTTAAATAAGGCCATGTTATGGTGCAGGGTGCGGTGAGAGAGAATAGTGAATCCTCACCRAGGGGAAAAAAAGCTTCCTCAGTCTTCTCAGTTAAAAAGCTTTTACTCTCAACCCATTCATACTGAAAATTGATGAGTAATGGTTGATGAAGCACAAATGGCCCAAACAGGGCTGTTTGTTTGTAGCTCAGAACCTAGGTACTTCACTGTGAGGTTCTGTTCTTACTCATTTCCAGGAATCACACTGCACGATGAACCAGTTGACTGGGCTGCAGCAGGAGATCACGTTAGTCTCACTTTGACCGGCATGGATATCATCAAAATCAAGTGAGCAAAGCTGGGTTTCAGTCTAAGTAACGGTTTGTTTTTAATGAAAAGCTATATAACTATTACACTGGGCTATCAGTGGTTTACTTGAAGAATGATGTGGCTACCAGGATATTTAAAACCAGAATGATGCATATCACCTGGCTTGCATGTACAAACGTTGGAAACATCTGCCACATGTGCAACGGCAGCCTCAAGAATACTGTCAGTTTTCATCCTTTGCCCTAGTGCTGACACCAGTAACATTTAAAGACTTTTTCCTTTAGACTGGTCCTTGGACATTTTAATTGCTGAATAAATTAAACCCATGTTGCTAAATAAACCAGAAAATTTTTAAAGAACTTATCAAGTAATCAATCATTCTAACACACATCCAAACAACTGCCATTTTGTACTAATAGGTAAATCTGTACAAGTGGAATTGATGGTAACTGTTTATTCAACACATTTAGCTGCTTGTAAGATTTGCTTTCCTAAGTGTTTTGCTTGGGGGGTGGTCTGCTAGTGGGACACAGCAAATCTCTTTGTCTTTTCCAGTGAGTAGGTTTCTTGCGAAGCATTAGCCTCAAGCTTTTAGGCATCACTTGTTCAGGCCAGATAATTGGATCCATAGTTTATTCAGCTTTTTTTAAGTTCTGGTTGGATTTCAGACAGCAAACTTTCAAACTACTTTTTGAAACCTCCTTGCATTGATGGTTTTTCAAATTTATGCTCTTATTTAGAGGAAAAGGACAGGTATTCTATATTGCCATTTCATAGTGGGGTGGGATTTTCAGTGGTAAAAGGGTGAAGGAAAAGTCTTGTTCTGTTTGTTGAATGAAGTCTTGAGTCAATTCGTTACCTTGATGTCATTCATCTTTCGGAGATCTGTTAGATTTGTCAAGAAAAGTTATGAATTTTCAAGTCCTCTTGATATTGATAAAATTTGATGTAAATGTTTAATTGTGTTGTTTATTCTCTTCTATCATGTTTTCCTGTGTGGGTTTAATTTTCCTTTCATTTTAGATGGCTAAAACTAGCCCCTGTGATGAAGCTGTGCCTAGTCTACTTACCAACTTGTAACATGCACAGCTTTCTTGTAACTCTGTATAGAATCTTTTGGAAGTGAGTGCTGCTGAGAGCTCAGGTTTTGAGTCCTGATCATGATGTTCCCTTATCCAGAAAATATTTAAGCTACAGGCAGCAGTACTGCAATTTCGGGCACGCTGCAAGATTTTATGCTATCGACCCGAAACACCGAATCTCTGAATGAAAGTAATTCTTAAAAATATCTACACACAGGAAACAATGACATTTTCAGAAACTGATTAGCAATGGACGTAATTGTTCACTGAACTAGACAGAGCCCTTCATGCATACACACAAAATAAGGTAGACATTGTCTAGGAACTCATTTTGTTACAGGCTTTAATACCGTGTTCCTGGATATCCACACACCCACCCACCCCCTACCACCCCAGTTATATTAAAGTGATGTTGCTTTTCCTTTGCTTGTCTTAAGCACTGCAGTGGGAGAAGATGATTTGTATGTCAAGATTTTTTTTTTTTGTTCTCTTTTGTAGTGTGGGCTGTGTATTTTGTGATCCCAAGGAACCCATTAAAGTTTGCACTCGGTTCAGAGCTCGGGTTCTCATCTTCAATATTGAGATTCCAATCACTAAGGGATTTCCTGTAAGTCTCCATGAAAACTGTGTCCCTTGCAGGTTGCTCAGGGCTTTTCCTCTCCATGGTTGACCCCTGAATATGAGACATATTCTGAATCCAGAAGTGGTTCTGTCTCTCCAGAGAAAACAGATTCTTCTGTGATTTGAAGTGRATAGAAGGGWCTACTGTGGCTTTTTRTSYATATTCTTRCTRGCTTYTAATACATAGCTGAGCCAYTTCAGAGAATGTGAGTTTCAYCRCAGCTAGACTGTCCTGTAGAAGCTTACATATTGCAGAAGTACAATGATGCACTTAGGTGTAAGGTACTTTTTAAAAGTAAATAATATATGAGTTCATACGACAGAACTGCACTGAGGTGGCAAAAGCAAAACACTTAAGGAAGAAAAATACTTGGGATGACATAAMACAAGGCCTTTGTGTCATATTGGCAGTGATCACAAAGTTTAWGAACTGGGAACAGTTACTGGATATGAGGCAGACACTCCTGCAAGTTACATGGAATTACAAGCATTTGTTTAAAAAATGAGTCTTAAAACATGCAGATGTTTTCAAGCATTAATGCCTAAGATTGCTGATGATCATAGGTTGCTTAATAACTGCAAAAAATATTTTCAGGTGCTTTTACACTATCAAACAGTAAGTGAACCTGCTACTATTACAAGACTGTTGAGTGTCCTGCACAAAAGCACTGGTGAAGTGACAAAGAAAAAACCTAAGTAAGTGTTTTGAATAGTTAATAATTACTCAAGAAATGGATTGACTTTTAATACACAGTATATCAAACWGGTTCTACTATGAATCAATAGTATGTTTTATGGTTTTAGTTGGTTTCATGTTTGGATTTCAATGTGCTTTACAACTTGAAAAAMCTCCTGCCCACTTGATAAATGCAGAGCACCTGAGAAGTGCAATGACTAAGGTCACTTGCAGAATTGAGAATGAATCTTAGATCAACAGCCCTGCACTTATAGTTTTTTGTTTGTTTTTTTTAAACAGTATGTCTTTTTTTACTGTTACTCCTTGTATAATWCTGATGGATGTTTACTGTTTAAAATACATTTGACTAGACAGTGGATCAGGGTAAAAAATTTAGGGAGTCTTCCCGTAGAAGTAGCATTCCTCCAGTTATTTAAAGCTGCATTTTGCTAGATACATACAATGTTTTCAGAATAATCTTTTTCCATGAATTGTATGGCTGAAACTGTTGCAGACTTGTACAGAGCAGTGAAATGGATCTTTAGTTGTGGGGTTTGAAACAAGACTTTATTTCCACTTGACATGAAAAAACATGTGCTAATGAGATAATTAGGTTCAAAATAATTTGCTAAATGCTGTGGTRAGTGCTCTTCTCTAGAAGTTTTTGAAGAAAACTCAGATGCCTTATTAAAATTTATAGTCCGGGCAAATAAGTTTTCAGTCTCTTAGCTTGGGTTATACTTGAAATCAAACTTTGGGACTTTTAAGATTTTTTTTCCATGTTTTCAGTGTTGTTTTCTTCATTTATCCATGCATGTATTTCTAATAGCTTTTCTGCTTTTTTACCTGCAGGTTTTTGGCTAAAGGACAGAATGCCCTAATAGAACTACAAACTCAAAGACCTGTTGCTCTAGAGTTGTACAAAGATTTTAAAGAGTTGGGGAGATTTATGTTACGCTACAGTGGCTCCACTATTGCTGCAGGAGTTGTTACAGAGGTATGGCATTTTTTATAATAGGCTTTCTATACTGTAGAGGAATGATGTTATGGTTAACACCTATTTTATACCCTCTAATCTGAAAAGTGATTTTTTTTTTCTGTTGAAAAAGAGAGCAAGATGTGAGGAAAACTTGTCAYGGTTCTGTTTCATTTCTTAGGAGTAAAAATTGCTCTATTTAGAATTTCTCTTTTTCCTCTTTGAGTTAAAGACTAACCCTTCCTATTTTAACATTCATCAGTCTTATTGAAATCTGCCTGTACTGGAAGTAGTTTGTAAATAAGAAGTGTTAGCCATTWTTGCTGCATCTAGGTTGGGTCCAATATTTTTTCTATTAAAATGAAGGACAGATRTACCTTTGATTCTGAGTGATGCCTATAAACATTTTCTGACCCTGTGTGAGGGGAAACAAAGACAGGAGGGCTAAATGTAAGCATTTTGTCTTTACTAGAAGCAGAAAATACAAACGTCTCTCTATCAGGCCCTTGAAAAAAAAATCATGCTGTGATTTTTTTTTATGAGAATTTAAGTTGCAATTCTAGTCCTGAAGAAGTGCAATTTAGTCACATTAACCAAGTTCTGGTGCTGAGAACTTAGAGCTGAGTCATTGAATTTCAAAACTTGGAATCAGACTGGTTTCTCCATGTATGTGTAGGAATGATGGGCTAGGTCATTCAGAGGCCTTATGGGTCTGTAAAGCCCTTAACAATCCTTCTGGTCTTAAATAAGATCCAGAACTAGGATGGATTGCACCCATTTTTCATTAAAGTTAAGGTGAGTGGGTTTCTGTTTAGATCTGCAATGTTTAGATCTAGAACAATGTTTGTGGAATTGGGACTAATTAACCTCTTTGATTTGTTCTTTATGAATTGCTATTTTAGTACCTGTCATCTTGTTCCAGAGAATTTAAGCAGAAAAGGAGTGATTTTTTTTCCTCAGCTAACTATATAGTACTGAAAAACACTGTGATGGTTTAACACTTAGTACTTAATTTTTCACTACAGGGTTTTTTTCCATTTGCTTACATTTTTAGATTAAAGAATGACAGTGGTGGCAGAATTTCCATCATCCATGCAAAACTCAATCAGATATCCAAACTTCTGTTTAAGAATTCAATTATTTCAGTTGAAGGAACAAGTGCAATTAACTGGGGAGAAGATGGTGATGACAAAAATTAAATTGTGTGAGACATCTGGGGATCCCTTCATCAGTCTCTCCTGCTGCAGAACAAGATGCCAACTGACAAGGAACTGCAAGTGTTGCACTTCTTGATCTCAAGAATCTCATGTGTTTCTCCGTGTGGAATTTAGCCCTTAGAGAAGTTGATGGAAAAATACTAGGAAGTTGAATTAGAAAAAAAAGATGATGAATTATCATGAAACAAACTCCTTACTTCCAGACATAAATTGTTTACATATTTTCTTTGATTGCTTTTTTGCTGCACATGAATTCAGTAAAGTAATTTTATTGGTCTAATATATTTTTAGGTTTGAGTTGAATGCATATTCAGGGAAGAAAATAACTCTTTACCTTGTTTTCAAGAGAATGGCATGTAGTATTATCATGGGGTTGTTTTCCCTGTTCCAAAATTTATTTAAAAAAAAAGGTTTCTTTTGCTGTGTAGTGGAAGCTGTGCCAACTTTGGCTAGTTTTATTTTTTAAACAGTAAGAATAATAAAACAAATTTGTCTGAGCATTTTAGTCTCSCTCATCTTTTGTTATTTAAATACTCCTAAATTGTGTTAAATCATTCTTCAGTTATCATAACTKAGAAGTTTCAGAATAAACTTATGAGTTAAAATGCGAAACTGGCATCCAACTTGTCTTTCTGAAGAAATAATTTCAGTTTTTCTCATGTTACTCTGTGCAGCCGCTGCACATAAACATCTCTTTTATCCAGACTTGGTTCTCTTTTGAACAAAGGCTGTCAGTTTAATTTTGTGGTGTCTGCTAAAGCCAAATTGTGCTGACTGATGCCTGTAACTCCTTCCTGCTTTTTGGCAATGGGGAGTTGAAATGTCCCAACTGAAAAAGAAGGTCCTTCTGCTGCATTCAGCTCAGGAGAGACACACTTGACTACAACTTGGAAGGTTTTTYCTCAATAGGAATTTTTAGAGGACCTCAGGTATTTCAGGACCTGTCTGTGGGTGCAAAGTGGAGACAATTCACCTTTGCCCAGAGGTAGTAGCAGGAGGCAGAAACTGAAACATGCACTCCAGAGTCAGTTGCTGGGGTTAACCAAAGTAAAGCTGTGTCCAGAATAGTGAAGAATACAAAAATGCTATGGTTGTTACTTAGTTTGCAATCCTGTATGGCCTGTACCTTCTCTTCACATGCTTTTTTTTGTAGATACCATTTTTTTTGCACTTAGGTGCTTTAGCCCCAGTTCAGCAGCTACCTGCACTTGACCACATAGATTAATTGTACTGTTGGCTGCACAGATATTTGTACAAGTATCAGCAGTGCTTTATGCGGAAATTACTTTTCTTGTAAATCTGAATATCTAAAAACTGTTATTGTCAAAACTGAAACTTATAGTTTACCACTATTTGTTGAGCCTTTTCATAGATCAAAAATTGCACTTAAATATTAACGAGTTTCAACATGCCACTGTGAAGGTTTTGATGCCCTTCTTGGATTCCAGAGATTTATGGTGCCAAGCTCCTGCATTGAACCTGTTCCACTTGAGCTTGCCTTCAGACTTTGAAAATGTTTAGGTTGYTCTTAWGTCAGGGGACAGCTACCGTCTTCARTTGTAGGACTTGCATGAATTCCTTATGTTTATGGACAAGGAAGTGTGATACAGGGTGAACCTCTGATAACTTGTGTCGCACATGGTTGCTTTAAATTTTGAGGCTCAGTATTCTGTGATGACAGAAGAGCTACTGCATACTTTCCTGGTCTGCAGCTTGGGAGAAGCAGAGGTATTAYCTAATCCAGTTTCAATGTGACTGCACTACCTTTCAACACAGATTTGAACTCTGCCCGGAGGTGCCACTTTGTTGAAGCATAAATGATCTGTTGTGCAATAGAAGCATATCACCTTTCTTTAATCAAAATACAATCACATGTTGATCCACGTGAAATTTGATGGCTTGGCAGTTGTCTAGGATGCAAAACCTTCCTTAACTGCTGATTGAGACATTCACTATCTCCTGAGATTGTGAGAGCATACTGCTCTCTGGGTACGGTTTTGAATATCTCTGGAGAGCAAGGAAGTGGCATGCAGTCTTAGAGCAATTTGATAATCCTAAGCATTGTCTTGAAGAAAAATCTTTTACACAGCTCTTACCAGGCAGTTTTGGCTCTTGGGCAGTTAATGAAAAAACTAGCCTGTATGTAACAGGCTTCCTGTAGTAAGGTGGCTTCCACTGGARTATCTATGGAAGGGAAAGCATGGAAGCCAGTGTCTTGCTCTTTTGGGGGGTGGGGGGCAGGGGGAAGATGAATTTCTGACAATATGTAACGGAGTGTACCAGGTAGGATTGTGCTTCTCAGGTGTTTGAATTGAGGGGTCGCTCAGCTGTTTGTATTGTTTGATAGTTGGGGCTATTGGTGGAAAAAAGTTTCTTAGTGCTTAAAATCTTCTGGGCAAGTGCATTGATTTTGGAGATACARGGAAAGTATTGATGATGACAAAGCAGTGAACATGAGCTGCAGACATGCTGGTCTTAAGTGTGTTTTCTTGTGTCTGCTGACAGTTAGAAGCAGGTTCCTGGCTAGGTGTTTGAGTGTTGAATTATTTTGTTTAATTATTCAATTCAAACTGTAACTTGAAAAACATACAGGTAGAAATTCCCCTGTTAAACCATTCTTTTTCTCTCTTTTTTTCAGTACTTTATTTCCTATAGGGAGAGAAAAGCTGTTTTCCAGCAACTATGCTGTTCTTGCCTCCTTGCTTCCTCTCCAAAAAAAGAACCAAGCGTCACAGAAATACTAATTTTCCCCCTTTCCTGCTGCTATCGCCAGGAATTTGTTCCCTCTTGTAAGCAAGTGGTGCATTGAAGACAGAGAGGGGGAGGAGTTCGGACTCGCTGTGCAAATACATAGAGACATATTAATCTAAATTGATGCCTTGTAGGAAAAAAAAATCACAGATGAAGCAAGCAGCTAACGATGGCTCACTCAAAGGCTCTCTTAGTTCTGGAAAACTTTATAGGTGGCAGATTTGTTCCTTGTTCCTCCTACATAGATTCCTATAATCCATCTRCCGGAGATGTCTATTGCAGGGTGCCAGACAGTGGCAAAGAAGAGGTGAGTACTATCCACATGTACAAAGAAGTGAAAAACACATAACAATAACCTTTTGTGTGACAGAGGCTGAAGGTGAGARAATAGAAAAATGATCACTTCAATGCTTAAACAAGTAAGTTCTTCATTATATTGCAGTATTGTGTAATCCACTGCTGTGGCAGCAAATGCTGTCATTTTTTWATGTTTTGCTCTTAGAAAGATATGGTCTGTATCCTAAGCTGATGTGAATCAACAAAGTTTCAGTAGCTTACATGGAGCTCCTTCAGCTCACATGGGAGATGCCTTCTGCATAAATTAACARTAACACCCAGACTGGCTGTAAATATAAACAATCTGTAAGTGAGAAGAGGGTTTATTGATCTCTTCTGTAAATAAATTTGGAGGCACCATATGCACCTAAATATGTTCTCCCTTACTGTCCTGGTAATTTGCAGTTTTTATTTTGAAASGATTTTTGGCTTGGTGTCTCTTCTCTGAAGATGGTAAAAAGCTTTCAGACCTTTCTGTGTTTTGATATTAACAGCTGGATATTCATTGGTGGTGATAAAGTGGCTGTGATGAGTGCATTTCCTTATAACATACCCTGTCCTCTGCATCCATAGGGTTTCCTGGTCTTGTGCTCTTTACTGGGGTGAATGTTTCCTGGAACCTTGTGCATATGCAGGTGTGCATGGGCAATGACGTTCATCAGGGTAGCTTCAGTTTCAYTGACGCTATTTTATAGGGGACCTATGATCTGTATCCAAAATAGTGTTTCAGACTTACTGTAGAGGGAAATTTGGACAAGCTTGGATAGCACAGAGGGCTTGGAAAATATTTTCAAGTAGTGGACAGCATTTTCAAAATGTTTTTCAAAACAAACTGCTACTGTGTGTATCTGTTCCCTTCACTTGCATTTCAGCCTTATTGGTGTTCTTTCTCTTTGCTTCTCTCAGCAGAAACCTTTGCACTGTAATTTCAACTTKGTAAATATTTGTTAGATGCTGATGACCAAGGGTTAAAGAGTAACAGGTTGGATTTGTTAGAATACATCTGTGTAAGTTCATTCCAATCCTWATTATGACTGAAAAGATTGCTCTTTGATGTGCAGGTGCACAGAATGGAATCCTGTCCATTCATTTGCAAAATCATTAAAGCCAGAGGCTTTTTCCACTCTGGAGATACAATTCAAACGTGCTAAAAGCAATGGTTTTTCAGCTGAGTTAGTGGTTATGGGTAGCAATGGGAACCCAGTTTAAACACCTGTAAGTTTGGTGTCCTGCCTTTAGACACTTACACAAGAAGGTTGGGCTCTCTAGGGCTGGCATCCACTGGTGGCTGATGGAATATGCTGAAGAAAATGCAATCACATGCTTCTTGATAGTATCTAGAGATACCAAAGTAAGCATCTAAACCCCAGTTCAACAAAGAAAGGACTTAGGATGCTGGTTTTCTAGCAAGGGTTGATATCCAGTTTGATATTTTCTTGGTTAATTTAGTGGGAAGTTAGAAGGTGAAACAAGGGRAGACAGTGAGTCTCTTGCTGACCCTGGAGATTAAGACCAGATCAGCTGCAGTGGCCATTTCAACCACTTTCTGCCAAAAACACCAAAATGTATTTTTTTTCTAGAGGTTATTTTGTTCCCCACCTATATATCTTAAATTCTAAACAGGAGAACCACAGCTGGCTGAATAGTTGCCATGTATCTCCACAACACAGGCTGATGAGGACTAATTAGTGCTGGCAAATACCTACTTTAAAAACACTTCTCTTTAAAGAACCTTGCTCCTGTGCATCACTGCCTGCAAATGCAAACATCATGTCCTGAGGTCAGTTCAGTTTGGGGTATTTTGATAGCAACCTTTTACAATGGGTCTGGATTGTGTTGTTTCTCTGCGTCTGTCTTGTGCAGAAGAGGAAAGCAGAAGGAAGTGTTTCAGACACAGGAGTTCATAGTTGAATTCTTATGCGTGTTTTCTTTGTGGCTTGGCTTTCTTTGCTGCTTTTTGCTAGTCAAACTAAGTAACTGTTTAACCTTTGTATGCTTTCTTACTTCTCTACAAACCTCTCTCTTTCTGCTTACATTTTTTCAKATGAATCTGCTGCCACTTAATTCCTTCCTTTGCTACTTTTCTGCCACCTGTGAAAAAGCAATATTTTTGTCCTAAACCCGTTGAAGGGTTACAAATGCAGACAGCTTGGCTATCTCCTCTCCTGGCAGTACCCAGTGGAAAAGCCCTCAGAGGAGAGGACAGATGAGCAGCAGCACCACAGGATGGGAGGGTGGAAGAACAAGTTAATTAGTGAAGGTGAGATGGTTTCACAGAGGGCAAACCTTTTCAGGGTAGCGTGGCATCTGCACCAGACTCACTGAGGAAGCTGCAGTTCCCCTTTCCYAGGGCTGCTTTGGTCCTGCTTCAGCTGTTCAGTGACTGACAGCCTGCTGCCATYGGCACTTGAGCAGAAGGTTATCAAACTACAGTCGAAAGAGAAGAGCCTGGGTTTCTGAGTTTGGCCTGGGTTTCTGAGTGATTCATGTGACCCCAAGCCTGCTGGTTTATTTAATTTCCCACCTTGCCCTCTGTAGTGGTGGTGTTCTGGCTTTCAAACTCTGRGCCTTATTTTTACAGGGCCCATAAATTCTGATGTGCATGGCAGGGGGAAGAAGAGGTAGATAGATTTTTTTTTTTCCCTGCCTGAACTTTTGTGTCCTTATTAGTAAAATGTCTTTGGAAGGTCTGCAAATTATTTTGTGATCATTTTTATAACACCTGTCCTAATCYGAGAGAACAAATCTGGGACTCAGTTTTGTGGAATTAGTGGAAATAAACCTTCAGTGACTTCATGGGAACCAGCAACATGGCAACATTCAGAGAGGTCATAATGGTCTGATYAATATTACAATAGCATCCTCCTAGTTATTGATTTTGGCAGATTTCCAAAAGCTGAAATAATTTTATGTACAAAAATTTTAGGGAATCAGCTAAGATGGTTTTGACTAAAACCCCACTTTGATGCATGTATGACATTGGGAGTATTGAGTAAGTGATGCATAGGAAGCAAAAGTTGGGAAATAGGGCAGTTAATTAAAATGTGGAAGGATATCTATGACCATCTGTAGTTAATGTGAGACTGGTAGACATGAAGAAGGAACTGCTTATAAAGCAATGCAAGTTACTTACATTTAAGAGTCCAGAGGAAATGATCGGTGGGAGAGAAAGCCTTCTTCTGAATTTTAATCCTTTGAAGACTGCTCTGCTTCAGAAAAGTGCTGGTAATCTACCACTGTTGAGAAATGTCAGGCTGAAGGACCATGCAGCAGTCAGGTACATCTCAAGCAAAATACTGATAAGACCGGTGTGCATCTGTATAAATGCTGATAATGATTCTTACCTGTAGGCTTTGTTAGATGTCTGCTGAAGAGAACAGACTAAACCGCAACAGTTTAGAAAGGAACTTTTTTTCTGTGAGGGCTTTAATGAGTTTTTAGGTGAGATCGGGTTAGATAAAATTTTTCTCAGTGTCCATTGTCTAAATACATTCTTAGTCCTTGCTTGAACCAAATGGTGGAAAGGGAGTGGAAATCAAGAGCCAGCAGGACATTCAGTCCACTTCTTCCCCAGCCCCTAACTTTCGTCATTGCCTGGTGTGGCTGAAGTGTTGCAAGGCTTGTGCATGTTTAGACAGAATGTGAATTTACTCTGGGGAGATTATTGCTCTTTTCTCCACGCAAAAAAAAGATAATTTTTTTTTGGCCAGTGACACTTGCTGGTGCCAGTTTACTAGGCCAGCATTTCTTCCAGGCCTGGAGGGTGGCCCACAAGCTGCTGTAATTTGGAGAAAAACAGAAGTTCCAGTAAAAGTTTCTTTTCTAGGTATTCTGTTTCAATAACACTACTTGAGTTATGGGATAGTGTCTTGATGACAACAGAGAAACTTTAAAGGGATGTCATCTTCCCAGCAATGTGATCTGGATTGTTAGTCTCTGAAATATGAATTTGTCTCCTGCGTGTTTGCTATTTTTTGAGTTTTTCATTAGCATTCACCATCCCTCTTGATTTTTTAGGTGGAAGCTGCTGTCAAAGCTGCCAAAGATGCCTTCCCAATTTGGTCCTCAAAAAGTCCTTCAGAAAGATCTCAGATCCTGAACAAATTGGCAGACCTGATTGAACATGACCTGGAAGAATTTGCACAAGCAGAGTCAAAGGATCAGGGTAAAAATTGGAACTGTTGATTTCAGATACAATGTGCTTTGCTGAATATTGAAATGGATGATTTGGATGGAATTTTTAGTATGGTTGGAACTGCTGGAACAAACTGGAGTTGATGTTCCATGAACTTTGAGGAGGTTTTGCATTTGGGATTCCTGGGGAATTCTTGCTTTTCAGAATTCCTGTCTTGGATTTCAGTTGTCATATATCTGGAATGCATTACTAGAGGGACAACTAGCTGTTATCACTGGCTGTGGTTGCAGTGTGCTGGGGGTTACTTGGGCACCAAGTAACAAAAGACATATCCCAAAACACATACACAAATCAACATTCAGAGCAGACTATAAAGCACTTTTCTGTCCATGATGACAGCAGTGTGTTTGTTCTTGTTTCAGGAAAAACCATTACGTTTGCCAGGACAGTGGACATCCCTCGGGCTGTGCACAACTTCCGATTCTTCGCCTCTTCCATCCTTCACCACGTCACTGAGTGCACCGAGATGCCAGCCATGGGCTGTATGCACTACACCTCGAGGGCACCTGTGGGAGTTGGTATGATGATCCTGACATCCTGACGGTCTGCCTCAGTAGGGGCTCAGCAAAGATTTTTTCCTAAAACATTTATTGCCTCTGAGTCATGTGCTAAACATGGCCTTTTCTGCTAAAGCATCAGCAACTTCATGTAAAATCAGTTATGCTACYTCATGGCAAAAGAAATGGTTGCACACCTAAAAAGATTAATCTGTTGCTCTCACCTGCAAATTCTCTCTCGTGTTGTGTCCATGTGGGAGAGCAATACAGCTGTGGATCAGCGTGCAGAGCACTGAGCTGCTGCTCCTGCAGGGACAGCGGGATCCTCCTCTCCTTTGGGGGAGCAGCAGCAGTTATCAGTGAGGCTGTGACCCTCAAGAGTGAATAAACCACTCTTGCTGGGGAACCACTGAACTCGGCCACTAGATGCTGCTGCTGCTTCAGAAATTAAGTGGCTGTGCTGAGCTGACAAGTAATGGTGGTGTAATGWTTTCATTATTATGTTATATTTATTATATAAATAACATACAGCACTAAATATATATGAATGCTCCAATTTACACTTGAATTATTTAAAACATAAAATCAGCTAACTTAGAGGCCCCTTCTAAAAGTTTTTTTGAGTGGTAGAGAACATGAGTACTTCTGGTAAAATTGTTTTCATAAGGAAAAGTCCCTCACTGCATCTGCTCYATCAAAGAGAAAGAAATCCTGTGGCTTTTGTGAGGACTCATACCTGACAATTACAGATTTTTTTTTTCATAATTTCCTATAAATATATGAAATGAAAATATTCCTAAAGGCAATTAGTGAAAATAATTCTGGACATTCAGCAATTTGTGGGAACAACAGCTTGTAGAGTGATACATTTTGGCACTCACAAGCTAGAYTAAAATTTGTCTGGAAAATATGTACTATATGCTATATGTAGTTTCTTTATATTAAAATTGAAAWATAAAAATAGCTTTAAAGAGCAATAGAAAGCAGCAATTATCTGAGATGGAACATTCAGCCTGGAGAAGAGAAAGCTCTTGGGAAACCCACAAGAGAGAGGGACTTTTTTCATGGACATGTAGTGGCAGGACAAGAGGTAATGGCTTCAAACTGAAGAAGGGTAGGTTTAGATTAGATATTAGGAAGAAATTCTTTACTGTGAGGGTGTGAGGCACAGGCACAGGTTGACCAGAGAAATGGTCAATGCCCCAACCCTGGAAGCGTTTTAAGCCAGGCTGAATGGGGCTTTGAGCAACCTGGTCTAGTGGAAGGTGTCCCTGCCTATGGTAGGGGGTTGAAACCAGATGATCTTTAAAGACCCTCACAACCCAAACCATTCTATAATWACTTACATTTGCTGTTTGCTAACACTAAGTATTACCACAGACCAGTTGTTGTGAATGATTGTTGTAGCTAACCTTGAACTGATGTTCCTAGGAAACACTAAAAAACTTCCTATGAATATAAGATTCTGCCCTGAACAAASAGCAAAACTTATTCAGAGAGTTCAGCTGATCACTTTTAGAATAATTTCTGSAGGTCTTCTAAAAAGTTAYCTCCCTGTGAGAAATGCYGCAAATTAATTGTACAATTRYCTKTAAATAAAAGCCATGGCCAAATTCMCTTCCTAKATCTGAATTGGTGTATAACTGCTTCAGGTCAGAGAAATGAGTTTTGTATCCCAGAAGATTAATCTCCTATCTTTGTGGGATCTTTTTTTTTGTAGCTGGTTTAATCAGTCCTTGGAATTTGCCACTGTATTTGTTGACTTGGAAAATAGCTCCTGCCATTGCATGTGGGAATACTGTGGTAGCCAAGCCAAGTGAGATGACATCTGTCACAGCTTGGATGATGTGCAAGCTCTTGGAGAAAGCAGGTGAGTCCTGTGGTGCGCTAAGGAGGGTGAATGGGGTGGAAATGTTTGTCTGTGCTCCACTTTTTTTTTTCTTGCAGAAACCAGAAGGTGCTCAAAGGCTTTGGGAAAGACTGTCTGCTGCAGCTGAATGTTGCACTGGAGAACAAAAAGCTTTCCCTGTCCTCATACTATCCTATCTCCCCAGCCCAACTGTTGCCCATTTTTTCCACTTCCACTAATGAAAGTTTTTGTGTGCATCCTTTGCCCCTCCTTCACTACACCTTAGTCTGTGGTGCCAAAGAGCATGAAAGAGTGAGAATCAGCTCCTGGTGATTGTGTCACCACTGTATTTGGTTACACTAGTGATTAAAACTGGSAGGACAATTGCTTCTACCCAGAATGCCTGAACACCAGACCTCTGAGGATGCAGGTCACGCAAGTTTGATTGGTTAGTCGAATTGGTTTTATCATTTAGCCCATGATCCCCAGAGCTTTTAAACAACATGGATTTCAGCTGCTACTGTAGTTAAGGGCCAGTACTTGTTACTCTGGAGTTTCTGGTAACTTTCTAACTTCAGGGACGAAACACAATGAAGTGAAAGCCTCTGAGTGATGAGCGACAGGAAGGGTGTGATGACTGTGTGCCTTTGTTCCCATCAGGGGTGCCTCCTGGGGTGGTGAACATAGTGTTTGGAACGGGTGCCAAGGCTGGAGAAGCCCTGGTCTGCCACCCCGACGTGCCTCTCATCTCCTTCACGGGAAGCACGCTGACTGCACAGCGCATCACAGAGAAAAGTGCTCCCCACTGCAAGCGGCTCTCGCTGGAACTGGGAGGCAAAAACCCCGCCATCATCTTCGATGACGCCGACTTGAGCCAGTGCATCCCCACCACTGTGAGGTCCAGCTTTGCCAACCAGGTGCCTCCTCCCTCTATAACACATAAACCCTGTTGGCAGCAGGAGGGGCGCGTCTGAGAGTTTGTATGAGTGTGTGCACTTGGATCTGAATCCCAAATTGTCAGGGTCTGAATGCCAGATTGCTTCAAGACTGTGTTGTGATAAAATCCTAAGTAGTATAACATGAAAAATGTTTCATTTTTGCACAAGGAGGGGAAAAAAGTAATTAAAAGCTCTTCTTCCTGCTCTCCATCAGAGACAACAAGGGGTTACAACTCCTGTCAAAGTAGATACCTTTCTTATCTCTGTAGGAAATGGCTGCTCTAAGTCCCACTGTGCAAGTAAGTGGGAAGCTTGTTGGTTTGCTAGAATTAAATTAGGGGACTTCCCACAAAATTTTACTAACATTGTTCTTCCCTCATCACCACCCTCAGGAGAGAGCACCCAAGCCAGGAAATGTATTTGGGCAAATGCTCWAAAAACTAGCTTGGTATCAGAGAGAGATTATCAGGAAATGACAAGAGAGATCATTCAGACTTGGAAATCACATTTCCTGTAAAAAATGTTGGAGAAGGAAACATATAATCAATAAAAAATCAAGTTTACTTATGGTAGTGAGTGCATGACCCTGATACTCTTTTGTCTTTTCCTTTTCTTTTTTATCTAGAAAAAAAAACAAACAAAAAAACCACTTTGCAATGCTGGTTAATGTAATTTGCATTCCTGAGGCTGCAGTGACACAAGTGTTTTGGGATGTGAGTCCAAGTACATGTCAATAGTGCAGAGTAATATGAACCAATATGGCTGATTTMTTGTTTGTTTCTTTCTTTTTGGWAGGGTGAGATCTGTCTCTGCACCTCCAGGATCTTTGTTCAGAGGGGAATATACAATGAGTTTTTGAAGAGGTTTGTGACAGAGGCCAAGAAGTGGAAKACTGGAAATCCCTCAGATCCTACAGTCAACGTGGGAGCACTAATAAGTAAAGAACATCTGGAAAAGGTGATGCTACATGGAGTTTATGTGATTTCATCTTATCCTTTAGAGGGCTACAAAAGGTGATTACAGGAGTATGCAGAAAGGATCAAGAAATCTCCAAGATTAGCTCTGAGGGATGATAACTCAAAGCCATTTATTTATAAGGTATCTTTTTAATGAGGTTTCTGTTGCCTGTGGCCTCAGATTATATGATTACTCTGAAAAAATCAAACTCCCTGGGGAAGAGAATCTAAAATGACAGAAGAGTATTTGCTCCYGTTTGAATGAAATAATTCTAATGGTTTCTAAGTTATGAATGTATACTCACCAATCTTAGAGCTCAGCAACATTTTAATGGATTTTAATARCGTGTTTGCTAGGATCACTAATTTGCCTATTAAGTTAATTGACAAGGTAAAAGCAATATTTTTATATCACTCTGGAAAATTCTGTCTTGCACAGAACACAGAACTGCTTGCAGTAATTGGAATGGTCTGTGTGTGGGGAGCAGCTGAGATGGTGCACAGTTAGACACAGTCTGCTCTAGTGGCTTGTATGAAATGAACGTTGTGGTGTCAGAGTTCAGGTGGAGCAGATGCTCATATCCCAGAACTCTCTGACGCAAGAAGCAGACCGAAAAACCACAGAGTGAGAGCCAGATCTTTGATATGCTTCCTGATGCCTCAGCAGGTCGTCCAGGTTCTCCTGTTCTGAGGCAGGGTGGTAGAAACACCCACTTCCTGAGGTCCTTGGTCTGTAGCACCRCAGAGAACTTCCAAGCTTAACCTACCAAGGTGGCTAAAAGAAGAAAAAGATAAAGAAGCCCTGTGGTATCTCTGTGGTCTTTCTATAAGGAGAGAAAGCAGGCAATGGTTGCAGAACAGCAGAAGCAGTCAATAACTTGTCCTGTGTGTTTGARGTTATAAGCATATGGTAGCAGCATGGAAACATGTTTAATTATTTATGAATGAGATTTTCTGCAGCATTCATGGCTTCATCATCCTAGTGGCATGTAAACATTGAAAATCTTGCCTGTGAGGCAGGGAAATGCTACTGATCCCTTGGAGTAAATGAGTGAACATGGGATGGGATGCATGGCAAACTGCCCGGACTTGTGGAAGAAGGAAGGGAGGGTCTGTGGGCACTTTTTCACTGTACTCTGTGTTTTCACCAAGGGTCCTACCTTTTCCACAATGCTTAGCAGGAAGGGCCAGCAGTGTTCYCTGCTAGGCTAGTAAGTGTTAGGAAAGGGGAAACAATTGTTTYCTCCAGCAAGAAATGCACAGCTTTGCCCATAAAGAAACATTGCAACAAAAGCTGGGGAATGCTGCCCTCTGTTGTAAGAGGGCAGCAATTCCAGTTGGAGGCATTCAGGGGCTCCTGCTGATGAGTGAACCTGCAGGATTTGGTGTCCTTTAGCAATGATGTTTTTCTGCTGCTTCCCCAGGTAAGGAAYTATGTGAAGAAAGCCCAGGCTGAAGGAGCCAGAGTCCTCTGCGGAGAGGGAGTGGATCCTTTGCCTCTCCCACCCGGCAACCAGAAAGGCTATTTCATGTCACCCACAGTTATTACTGAAGTCAAAGATGACTCTTGCTGCATGCAAGAAGAGATCTTTGGTCCCGTGACGTGTGTGGTAGCATTTGATACGGAAGAAGAGGTGATCAAAAGAGCCAATGGTGTGAAATATGGCCTGGCAGCCACGGTCTGGTCCAGCAATGTGGGGCGCGTTCACCGGGTGGCACACAGGCTGCAGGCTGGGCTGGTGTGGACCAACTGCTGGCTCGTGAGAGACCTGAACTTGCCATTTGGTGGGATGAAAGCCTCAGGCATAGGAAGGGAGGGAGCAAAGGATTCCTACGAGTTCTTCACTGAGGTTAAAACCATCACAATAAAGCACTGACATGTCAGCCAGAAGTATTTTAGAGTGAAATAAATGACAGCAGTCTAAGTTACCAAAAATGGCTCTTTAGAACACAAATGGCAGCTATTGTGGCCATCTTTTTCTTGAAGAAAAAGATTACTTTGGTCAAGTAATGTCAATGACAGCTGAAAACAGTCATCCCAAACGCTGCTGTTAAAGGCAGCTTTTCATTTTGGATAAGAAGATCAGTGTGGACTCCACAGTCAGCTCATACTAAGCCAGATGACTTGCCTGTCTTACAGATCCTACAGCTTTTTGAGTATTCCTGTCTCAAAAATCTGTCCCTTTGGGGCAGATTGGAAAAAAAGTAATATATGATGGTACCTCTGGTTGGTAAAGTACCCAGAGGGACAAAGTGGCAAGCACATGGTGGGGCTGATATTGTAAAGGGGAATCAGCCATTTTCACTCTAAACAGTATGGTCCATGTATCCATCCATACTTCACTTCACTGATRTCAGACAGAGACTGATACTGTACCACACCAAGAGCCTGAGCAATGACCTTTAACCTACTAAACTGGTTTTAAACCATGGAGTCATGACATTCTCATGATATTAACAGAGACAATAAATGTTTTAATGATAACCTTCTTTATGGCATGCAGCTGAATTATCCTAATACCTCTTCTCTAACTATTTTGAAATTAAAGCCTTTTGTCAGTTCTAGACCTGAGTGATGGTGGTTTTTACATCYCTGTACAAAAATATGGCTGCATCACAGACAGCCTCACTCTTCCTTAATAAAACCTTGGATTTACTCMTAAGAGAACCAACTGTTGGAAATGTTTGCCACCAAAATGCAAAACCACTTCCATCTCTTCCTCATGTGTTTGCAGAGATTTTATTAAAATCAGGTATCTTTCAAACTTGTTTATTTTCAACAAAAAGAGAAACAGAGTTGGATACACCTTGACATCTCTGGATCCCACCCAGTTTCAGAGCAGACCTCCCAGCCAGGCTGGGACTGTGGACATCTGATGGATTTGGTAAAAGGACTCCCAGGTGAAGGCAAGTTAAGGAAATACATAAAAATAATAAGCATAGTAAATTGATGTATTCTGAAGAAGCATAAACATTTTATTTTATAACTGTCTCGTTCTGTTCATGACCATGTGGTGGCAGCAGAACACCTGCTTTGGTGTTTTTAAACCCCCGTCACTGAGATGGGAGGGGAATAAACAGCCATATCAGTACACGTTTCATTCTGCCAATTCTTTTTTCTATTTACACACTCTGTTTGGAAGAGCAAAAGGACCCAAAARCTGTGAAACACTTCATTAGTTGGARGACGAGGGGGGATGTGGGGGGCAGACATTTACAGCAACAGCAGATGGGATATTGCATAATTAGCAGAAATGCATGGATACCTTCCCCCACCTGGACCTGGCTGAGGTTCAATTTCAATGAGACGAATTTGCTTTCAGGAGTTGATTTTATCTTTGCATTAGATGGGATGGGAGATTTCTATGTGCATTACACATATTGGAGACAAAGGCCTGTGTGTCATCTGCAGGATTGTGGCCCAGGGCATCAGAGGTGGAGTAGTAGGTGGCTGGGAACAGAGCTCTGGAGGAGTCCCAGGTGTGGGGAATGGAGGTGGCGGCTCCATGTCCAACATGGCTCTGAAGGTTTCTCAGGGGTGAACTTCTGGGAAGCCCCATTCCATCATTGCTGTGTCCAGCACCTCTGAGARGTAAAAGAAGGTCTGCTGGTCCTAATGACGCTATTTACTTTTGGTCAGGAGGAGGAGCCCACGTGTAGAAACAAAACATTGTTCCTTTCTGCATTTTCCATCTCTGATGGATGGATTCCTGTCCTTCCTTCTCCGCTTACTGTGCAGTTCAAGTGTGTTGCTTATTGTGCTGTATCTCTCCCTTTTAGATGAATAGAGATTCACACATGTGCATGCACAGATATGAGGGAGATACCCAGGGGGGAGAGTTCTTTTCCTCTCTGTAGCAATGGGCAATTCTTGCATTTCCCTTGCCCATCTGCTGCCTCAGGTCCCAGCCCCAAATGTATTGCTGGTGCTTGTGGCAGGTGCCATGGGAGAGGTTTACCTGCTTGTACCAGGAGCTCTCTGTGGGCACACAGAATTCACCTATTTGCCAAGAGCCGTGAGCTTTCCCACGCTTTTTATTCATTCTGACTTCCAGGGTASCAATGAGCATGAATAACCATCATCTGACAGATGGAGCAGTCCAAGAGCTTCTTCCTGCAGATGATCAAGGTGTCTGCTGCAGCTGCTTTATTTCTGGGTTTTCTGCTCTCACCCTGAGTGGACAGTGAAAAGGATATCCTGGAGGATGAGGCAGGCTGATCCAAGTCACGAGGCTCATGGCTCTTACAGAGTTCTTCAGGCTACGCATTCTGGAATTTTCCAACACGACAGCAAAGCTTTTTTTTTTTTTTTTTTTTTCTTTGTAGGCTGCCCTCGCTTGTGCATGAAATCATGGGACCATTGTGAGGATTTGTTTAATTACTGTTATGTAAATCTCAAAGAGTTGCTCCATCTGTTAATTCCTAGTGATGGAGTGAGTTCAGTTCTGTTTAACACTAGAGGATTATCTCACTGGTGTGAGATTATTACTTTACATGGGGAAGTATTAATGTATTTTCCATCCTTTACAGCTCCCAATTAGCATAGGGTTATTTTTGTTCTATATCAGATCTTTTCTCAGCCTGTTTATGTCTGTATCCAGTTATTGTATAATGCTTGAAAGCAGTTTTGCTTAGGGAGCCTCTGGATGTGGTTTGGAGGGGGGACACATCAGCTCTAATATTTGTATTCAAATCAAGCCATGTCCATGTTTTCCACTTTCCAAGTGTTTGTAACTTAGGCAAAGCAAGACATATTTGTAAAACTCTCAGGGAGGAAATAGACTTTACTTTTTGGGTCAAAGAAAGTTTCATGCCTAACTTAAATGTGCAGAATTAGAATGTAAACTAGACTAGCTTTAAAATCTTAGCTCTGAACTGACAAACTTCAGAAAGCTATACATTAAGATTCAACTTCATAGGTAGAGTCAGATGTTTAAGATTATCCTCTTAATAACAACAACAAAAGAAGGAAAAAGAGGAAAAGACAGTGGGATCCTGGGGGATTTGTGAGGAGTTTCTTGTCAGGCTTGTCTTCAGGGCYGAGTTTTAATTTTTGCTCAGCCTTGAAGCATATTTGCTCACCACCTGTCTCAGCTCTAGAAGGGATGCTGTCTGAAGTGTCCAATACCTTTCCTCAAGCTTCTTACTAAATTCGTGGATTTTCTGTGCAGTGAGCAAGTGAGAAATGAAAGCAGAATGAAATTTTCTAAGTCTTAGAGTAAGATCAGGCTCTTGCTTTCCACCCTAGYAGGTAATTAAATATGCTATAGAAAGCACAATATAATGAATTAAGGAGGTACCAGTAACAGTTGCAGGAAATCCTGCAATGATTGGGACATTTTTTTAATTGAATTCTGTTCTCCTTTCCAAGTATTTGAATTTGCACTTGGAGAGTGATGTTTGTACTTAAGGATTAACAATGCACAAGGTTTTTCTTTGAGAATAYATCAAATCCCTGTTGGTAACACTTGCACTTTAGGTGAAGATCAGGGTATGACGAGAAAAAGGGGAAAGCCCTGCAGTATTAGAACTGGTTAAACTGGATGCATTTTAATGCAGCTGAGGGCTAGTTATGCAGCCAGAAGCCATGTGTGKGGTGCTGCCTCCTGAAAAGGAGCAGCTGAGAAGGATTTGGAGATTATGAGGGAAAGCACAATCAKTGTGAGAATACCAGTTCAGCCAAAGCAGCTCAGCAGTGTAGAGCCCTGCATGAGCTCTGCTACATCACTGCAATTAACAGGRGAGCCAGCACGATCCTGGAGAGAATCAGCAGAAGTGTGCTGAATCTGCAAGTAATCTTTACCTTTGCATGTAATATCACTGTAATGTGCATCTGTTCCTGTTCTCTTTAACAGAGAGATGTGGAGGGAGGAAAATTATTCCAAATTCTGAAAAAAGTCCTAGTGTGGGGCTTGAACGATGTGTGGCAACACCTTTGGCTTCAAAAACACCTGTTTTGCCAAGGCATCTTTTTTTTAGTGTGCGTGTTCATATGCAGGGATGGAATTGTAGGGGTCAGTGATGAGTCTAGAGGGGCAGATGCACATTCCTGCTGTGCCAAAGAGCAGGTTTTGCCTCCTGAAACACAGGAGATGGTGGAGCACACCTGACTGGTGCCTTCTCTGGTGGGTGATGAGTTAACCATGGCACAGCCTGCCTTGTGGTTCTCCCCTCTGGCACCAGCTGTCCTTAATAATATCCCAGAAAATGCAGATACTCCCTCAGAAGGGAGAACAAGAGTCCTGAATGGGCAGGTGTTTGAGATGGAAAGGGGAGGATGGGAAATCGTGACCTGTCAGGTGGATCAGGCCAAGGTTTCTCACCTGGCTGAGACCACTCCCTCTTTGTGCTGTGCTTTGGGAAGATGGGCTGCACCTTGCAGCTTGGCTCAAGTGAAGGCAGGAACGCCTGGTCCAAGGAGCCCACTGGGACAYGGGGAGGTGACAAACAGATGCTGAGCTTCATGGAGGCTGAGGCAAAAGCACCCACAGGCATGTGGGGCCTTTGTGCAGTTAGGTGCGAGGTGAAATAAGAGCATCTTCCTGTGTGTAAGAGCCTCAGTGGGGTGCCCAGATAGGATAATGATGTGGTTTGTATAATTACCCAAACCCACAAAAGGCTTCTTCCAGGGTACTGTTAATGAGAGCTATCTCTTGGTTTCAGAGAAAAGGAAGTAATTATAGACTATTTATTGTGAAGTGAGGACACACATTCATTCACRGGGTGCTAAACTTGTCCAATTAACTCTGAGCTCATGAAATAATAATGAAAAGATTATGCTCTCATTTTTGTAATTGGATTTTCTCCCCCTTGGGGAACAGTGCACATTCAAGGAAGGGTCTGTCCTTGGTTATGGGGAGGTTTCATGTTTTTCAAGTTTGGCTGACCCAAGAAAAAAGTCAGGCAAAAGTCACATTTTCTGCAGCTGTAAAATGGCATTTTCAAGGGTTGACTTTAACAAAAAAAAAAAAAAAAAAAAAACAAAAAAAAACAAAAACAAAAAAGAAACATTTCCTAATCTTGCCTTAAATTTTTAAACTGTTTTGTTTACACTTACTTGGCTACAGTGAATTGACTGTGTTTAACTGCTGAAAATACAAGCTTTTGTCCTCAGGATGAATGCCAAAATGTTTGTTGGTGGAAACAGCAGARTGTCTGTCTGGGATTCTCTTTGGGATTCATATGGTGATATATCCATGTTTTCACATGAATRCTTGGTAGCTGAAAGTAGGCAATTTCAGTCCTGCTGAAGGGCTGAGTTTTTGTCACCCTTTCCCAAGGAGACAYTGGAGCCAGTTTTCCAAGTAGAGGACATTGAGTAGGTATGATAAGATAGCCTTAGGAGTTTGATTAGGAAATTACCTCTTTCCTGTGCTGGTTTGCTTCCAGAGCTGCACTAGGCTTTTTGAGGATGGAAAGGATACTTTTRTAACCCATAATTATATTCCTACAGTTAATAATTTTTGTTCTAGAGTTGACAGTTTTGCCAATTCAAATGAACAGTGTGGAGGGATTTTTTATGGTTGTCAAATGTGTTTCTGGCCTTTGTGGCTTTGAGTCATATGGGACAGGGGTGAAAACCAACATCCTGCAAGATCCACACGCACCAGGGTTTGCTGGTGATTCGAAGAGAAATTTGCTGTTACAGCGCTGTGAGATTCTTCTAATCAGCTGACCCCTGGAAGGAGCTTTGGGCTGCTTCCTCTCTGGGTGATATGTTTTTAAATCTTGGCTTTATTTTTAARAAATAAGCACGTGTATGTGCATGACTGTTCAGATATGTAGTTTCCATAGTGTCATGTTTCAGCAAGGAAGGCAAGCTGAGCTATTGATCCAAGGGCTTCCAAAGAGGATCTCACTCTGGTCTGAGACTTTCCTGCTCAGTTTCTTTCCATGAACAGTCTGAAAGAAAAGAAGTTTTTCAGATTCTTGAGCTCTTTATAGCACAACCTCCTATCTATTTCTAGTGCTTAATACCAGCCACTCATCTAAATAATAAAACTACCTTATTTTGAGAACAAGGGTTCAGGGGAGGTCACATTCTTCTCAGCTGATACAAATCARTGTCTGCTTTTGATTCTAAGCCGATGGT